AATTTGACTTTGGAATATTCAAAATGGCTACCGTTGTCATGGAAACAGTACAACTGTTCAAAATTGAAAAATGCACCTAACGCTTTTAAACTAACAGATTAATCTGTTGTCATGCATATATATATATCAGCATTCACTGATGGAAAATTCCGAAATGGCTGCCGTTTAGTGGCAATTGGCGAACCAGGGTAACATCCACTATTGCTTGCAGTCGCATTTCTAGTTTTTATTATGTCACCCAGAACGGAGTTGGGGTGATATATTGTTATTGTACAATTCTTTTTCTTTATTATTATTCTTCCACACTTTTTGTCCAGCTTAGTTCTCAAAATTGAATGGACCAATTTTAATGGAACTATACCATAATTTTAACCACCATGTGTAGTTGTGCACCTGACTTTGGAATTTAAAAAATGGCTGCCGTTGCCATGGAAACAGCAAAAATGCGAAAAAATCAAAAAGTGTTCCAAATTTAATTAAACTTTGTGGAAATGTTACTTGTCATCAGTAGACATGCTATCCATCTTTGGAATTTCCACAATGGCCGCCATTGTCATGGAAACCGGGGAAAAGTCTACCATTGAACTCTATGGGGAAAAATCTAAAGGAGCATTTTCTCACTGAATATGGATGATAAAACCAAATAAAACTTAAATGCTATGTTGCTCGTCATATGAGATTGTGGCATCTGTCTTTTTAATTCTGGAAATGGTTACAGTTACCATGGAAACAGCAAAAATGTTCAAAAATTTCAAAATGCTCCAAACTTAATGAAACTTTACAGAAATGTTAACTCCCATATGTACAGTTACTATTTGACTACGGGATTTTGAATATGGATGCCGCTTAGTGGCAATGGGCGGACTGGGGTGACATCCGCTATTGCTTGCAATGGCAATTCTAGTTATGTCACCCTGACGGAGGTCGGGTGACATATTGTTATTGTTCCATTCTTTTTTTCATTTACAATTTTTATTATTCCACACTTTTTGTCCAGACTATTTCTCGGAATTGTATGGACCAATGGAACTTTACCATAATGTTAACCCCCATGTGTAGATGTGCAATCGGGGGTTGGCCGTTGCCATGGAAACAGAAAGAATGTGAAAATCGGAAAGTTTTCCAAATTGAAGGAAACTTTGTGAAAATGTTCCTTGGCATGTAAGGATATGCTATCCATCTTTAGAATTTCAAAATGGCCGCCGTTGCCATGGAAACAGTACAAATGAGAAAATTTTCAAAATGCTTTAAACTTTCTGATAAAAAAAACCCGTAGAAAGATGTATTGTGATGCATATATGTGCATTCAATGTTAAAAAAATTCAAAATGGCTGCCGTTTAGTGGCAATTGGCGGACCAGGATGACATCCGCTATTGCTCGCAATGGTAATTCTAGTTCGTCTTATTATTTTTCTTCCACTTTTTTGTCCAGCTTATATCCTGAAATTGTATGAACCTATTTTAATGGAACTATACCATAATGTTAACCAGCATGTGCAGATTTGCAAACGGGGTGTGGCATTTCCAAGATGGCCACCGTTTCTATGGAAACAGCAAAAATGTCCAAAAAATTAATATGCCCCAAAGTTATTGAAACTTCACTCAAATATTGACCGGCATATGCAGATCTTCAATTTGACTTTGGAATTTCAAAAATGGCCGTCGTTACCATGGAAACAGCAAAACTGTCAAATATTCAAAATGCTCCAAACTTTACAACAATGTTAATTGGCATGTGTAGATGTGCTGTTTGACTTTGGATTTTTCAAAATGGCTGCCGTTACCCTGGCAATGGGGGGACGAGGGTGTCATCCGTTATTGCTCGAAATTACAAATCTAGTTTTTATTATTCTTCCACCTTTCTGTCCGAGGGATTCCTGGGAGTTTAGTGAACCAATCCTAATGAATGGTTACCGTAATGAGGTCCACCATCTGAAATTTTGCAAACCACCTTTGGAACTTTAAAAATGGCTGCCGTTACCATGAAAACCGAAAAAAGGTGAAAAAATAAAATATTGGGGATTGGTGAATTATTTAGGTATGCTTAAACTTAAAATCATCAAATTTTAATACAATGTAGTTGTCCACTATATACAGGGTTTTGGATGATTTTGACAATGATCGGATTTACTATGTTGCCATGGAAACTGCAGCAAAAATTTCAAATATTTCAAAATGCTTCAAACTTGATGAAACTTCACAGTAATGATGAGCAGCATTTGTTGATGTGGCATTTGGCGTTGGAATTTCCAAAATGGCTGCCGTTACCAAGGAAACAATGCAAAAAAGGTCAAACTGCTCTAAAAACCCTTCTTCAAATCTTAAAGTAGCATTTCCTCTCTTAATATGGTAAGTCATACCCATTGAAACTTTAATGGTATGTTCCCTTTTATGTACCAATGGGGTACTAGTCATTACAATTTTGGAATTTGTCACCGTTACCATGGAAACAGCAAAAGTGTCCAAAATTTCAAAATGCTCCAAAATTACTGAAACTTATTATGTATGTTGACTAGTAAGTGTAGATAAGACTTTGACTTTGGAATTTCCAAAATGGCTGCCGTTGCCATGGAAACAGCAAATATGTGTAAAATTTCAAAATACTCAAAATTTTCTGAAAATTTACAGAAAGATGTATAGCCAAGCATATATGTACATTCGCTGCAAAACTGAAGGACCAATATTAATCAAACTTAAGCATAATGGTAATCACCATATGTAGATTTGCAATCCTACTTTGGCACCAAAAAATGGCTGCCGTTACCATGGAAACTGAAAAAAATGTAAAAAGTAAAATTTTGGGGTTTGGTGAATTATTTGAGAATACTTAAACTTAAAATCATTAAATTTTAATACAATGTAGTACATCGGAACTAATATGTTGCCATGCAAACAACAGCAAAAAATTCTAAAATTTCAAAATGCTCCAAACTTAATAAAACTTTACAGAAATGTTGACTAGCATGTGTAGATATGGCATTTGACTTTGGAATTTCCAAAATGGCTGCCGTTACTATGGAAACAATGCAGAAAAGGTCAGAATGCTCTAAAAACCTTTCTAAAAACCTTTAAAGTAGCATTTACTCTCTTGAAATGGAAGGTCAAATCTATTGAAACTTTGATGGTATGTTCCCTCTCATGTACCAATGCGGCATCTGTTATTAAAATTTTGAGAATGGTCTTTGTTACCATGGAAACCAGCAAAAATGTCAAAAAGTTCAAAATGCTCGAAACTTAATGAAACTTAATATAAATGTTCACTGGCAAGTATAAATGAGACTTTTGACTTTGGATTTTCCAAAATGGCCACCGTTGCCATGGAAACTGAAAAAATGTGAAATATTTCAAAATGCTCCAAACTTACTGAAACTTTGCAGAAATGTTAATTTGCACATATATATCTGGCATTCGACTTTGGAATTTTCAAAATGGCTGCCAAAACCGAGTCAATGGGGGTGGGTGACATCCGCTATTGCTTGCAATAGCAATTCTAGTTTTTACTGCATTTTTTCTTTAGGCCATGGTGTTGTCTGTTTCAATTCTACTTATAGTTTTTGATTGTCCACTTGGTAGGTATCTTCTCCAATTTTTAAATCATAAAGCATAAATCATATTTGAAATTTTAATTTTTTCAGACCTGCAGCATACTTGATGCACATGTTTCCTCATATAAACTGAAATAGGTATGATTAATCGTTATATTGTAACAATGTACTGTCGACTACTTGAAGTTTTGTTCACATCTAAAGCATAGGACTGATAGGCACAAATCCCACATATAGGCAGCTTATGCATATTTTTGTACGTGCGGCACGTATAGGGAAAAAGTAGTATTGCATTTTCCCGACTTTAGGTTGGCCTTTTGTGTAACCAGGTGAAGGAAGTCTACTTTGAAGCGCGTGATTGGATGTAAAGGTATACTTTATTTTTCTAATTTATTTATGAATAACTGCAGTGTCTAAAATTGTGAAATACCGGGAAATATTTTCTGAGAATTATTCAAAAAGGCTTCCAAATTTTCATAAATTTGATGTAAAATTACGGTGGTCATGGATGCTATAAACAAGATCCGTTCGAAGATGGTTTTGCCACCATTTGATTTCAATTTCAAAAACAGAATAATAAAGTCCTAATATCACACATAACTATTGGGTCCAAGGTTTTATTATAAAAAGTGGTAGCTTAAAAATGTTAGTATCGTCGCCTATGGAGGTAAAAATACTACCGTTTTCCCTATATAAAGTACTACTCCATATGCAAAATCGTTGTGGTAATAGAAATATCACATTTAATAAAGAAAGATAAACTGAAAGAATAACAGAATTAATTTATTCAAAACATCTATAACACATTCATGCCCAAGACTACGTTTGGCTTAACGGATTATGTTTCAAATTGATATGCTTTTCAACACTTAATATAATGTGTCTTTTTAGACCAAAAAGGAAGTCCTGCATGAGTAAATGATAGACAAAAAGTCCTGGGTTCAAGAAATAACGCCAATACAAGATAAATAAATTGCTGTTTTATGATTTAAGACCATTAAAATTTGATATCAAGGATGTAATTCTATATCTGTTAAATATTTATCGATTTTGCGCAAAAATAATTTAAATTTCCATCAAAAGCATTTAATATTTAAAAACAAATACGAAGAAATCAGTTTGTACATGATATATGTCTTGATAAGTCAACAAAGGAATATTAGTCCATAGTAAACAACGTCGTAACACCATAGAGATTTGTCGCATTGCGGGATGACATCATTTAAAAGAATTGTATGTGATATTTAGAGAAAAGAGGCCAATGGGGAACATAAAGACTCAAGTTTCAGTATTCTATTTCAGAAGTTGTTCTGATATATCATGTTTTTTTTTTCTTTCTAAATGTCTCATGGAATCTAAACATATTTTCTTATCAATTTTTTTTTTCTTTTTATTTATACAAATCAACACAGAATTTTTCTTATGAGTCTCAATGATAACTACATGTAGCTATATACGTATAGGTCTTCATGTTGGAGCAGTTCCTTGTTTCGACAAATATAACTACATGAATGAAATGTTTGAATGCATTTAAATCTTTATAACGATTAATATAATTGGTCAATTATCACAAAGTAAAGAAAACAACAGTTAAACTAAGGGTAAAAATGTTTATTGGACAAATAGATGTCAATATTATCGTTTGCCATATTTATATTATATAAGATAATATTTATCTTACTTCTGTTGAAATACCCTGTGAGGCCACAACTTTCGCACAAGGAAGCCGTAAACCATTCCAAATTATCGGAATCAAAGACATCGAAGTAAACAACATGGTAAGTTCATTGGAAATGTATTACTTTTATTTAAAAATCTGCAATTTATAGTAAAGAAATTTGAGACTAACTGTAACATTAAGATAATTTAAACACTCAAGACATTCTTATTGGCAAAATAATACATGTACTTTTCTTTTTTTCTTCCTTTTTCGGGAGGGGGGGGGGGGTGAATATAGACTCTATAGTCTGATTGAAGGAGTCTTTGAACTGTATTTCGTTGTTCCTAATGGGTTATTGTTCTTTCGGAAAACTATACGAATATTAGACCGTTGGTTTTTCCGTTTGAACGGTTTTACACTAATAATTTTTTGGGGCCCTTTATAGCTTGCTGTTCGGTGTGTGCCAATGCTCCGTGTTGAAGGCCGTACCTTGACCTATAATGGTTTACTTTTATAAATTGTTACTTGGATGGAGAGTTGTCTCATTGGCACTCATACCACATCTTCCTATACAGATGTATCTATATGCAGTCTTCTTGTCAATAAAAGGGCATACAGATTGTGTATTATATTACTTAACTCGATATGTTGTAAGAATATTCAGAGATTGTCGTTTGTTGCTGTATATAATATTTGTTTTCGTTTATTGTTTTGTACATAAATCATGCCGTTGACAGTTTTAAATAAAGGGCGTCTGGTCGATTTATAGCTTGATATGCGGTATGGATTTTGCTCATCGTTGAAGGCATTGTACGGCATTGGTGACCTATACTTGTTAACATCTACGTCATTCTGTCTCTGGAAGAAAGTGGTCTCATTGGCAATCATACCACATCTTTTTATTTATATACTTATTTACTTAAATTAGTCCTATCAAATATATGACAGTATTGAATAGTATGCAGGGCATTTTGACCTTACTTATCACTTACTTATCACTGTATAATATTTTGTTGAATGTAAACACAAAGTTTTGTTGGTTTTTTATCTTCATATTGTATTGTGTATTCGTATGTTTCGGCCTCTGTATAACACTACATGAAATGGTGCCTAAATTGGCGATATAGAATTTGTCAGTTAGTTTGTTTGTTTTGTTATACATTTTTCTTCTGAGTTAAAAGTGAAGTAGTTTCATTGATTCTTACTTGCGTATATAGTCCCTTGGTCAAAATGATTTCTATCTTACTTTATTATCTGTACAAAAAACAGGTAAATAAGTCGAGGGTGACAATATCCAGAACAAGGATAGAAATTACTATGTACCAATAGCCCTTTAAACGTCCCAAGTAGGAATTTCAATTTACCCATTGTTTTATTGCAAAGAAAAAATCATTTGATACTTTGATTAATATTTATACCATATAGGTATCGATACAAGCCGATAGATATCGACATTATATATTATGTTTTACTTTTCAGGCAGATCAACTCACAGAGGAACAAATTGCAGGTTAGTTGAATAAGTGTATAAAAGTTGTCTAGTATATACTTCTGAGAGAGATAATGTGAGTCAGATATTTGATCAGATCTTAATAAATCTGTAAAAACGACACTAGTTTTAAAAGAAATTCATACCATTAAGACTTTTAAAAAAAAGACAATTTTTCCCTAAATCTGAGAAACACTGATAGATGATATCAAAACAACTATATGTTGAAGGTGGCGATAAAATTCGGTAATTAGTGACTTTATGCAAGTATGGATAAAAAGGCAATCAGGCCGGGATTAATAAACAATTTGCTTTTGAAAAATGAAAAAAAAATGTTTACACAAAGAATAAAAAAAGAACATATTTTTTTGTAAAAAGCAAAGAGTGAATGGTCAAAATAAAATTCTGCTCGCTACACTCGGCATTGTTATTGCCATTATGGCTTGTTTAGACAAAAGGAAATTTATTTGAATCTTTAGCACCTTCATCTGGTGTCACCTCCAGCTAAGCAATCAATCCAACCAAATATGTGCCTCCCTTGGGGTCGTATTTTTTACATAACCCTACTGCAGACCCATTTTAACTTATCTTATATATTCTTTTTTATTTCACCGATATCATACACTGCCCCTCCCCCCCCCCCCCCCCCCCTCTTCCCTTTTTGAAGGACTGAATTGAAATAAAGATATTGTATTGTAATGTATAGACATTTACGCCCCCACATTTCCCCTCCTTTCCCCGAGCCCTGGGTATCAATGGTTAGAAATCCAAACAAGTCTAAAGTTTAAGGGTAGATAACAACCGTCAGAAACAGTTCAGCGCAGCAGTCTAAGGGGGGTAATCCTTTAATTCTCTGGGTGCGGAGAAGGGATATTTTTTTAAAGATTGCTTTTGAAAAATGAAACAAACAAATGTTTGCACCTATACAACTCAAGAAAAAGAATGTTTTCCATTCTAGGTTTAAAAAAAAATACATGGGGTACAAATCCGTGCCCTTCACCAGAGAATCAAATGGTTGCGGCCTAAAATGTAAATGTCAATGAAATGATACATACTTTGTCTTCAATCACAGGAAACAACTGCCTCATATTGGAATGAATGACATGCAAAATAAAAGGGAAAAAATTATCGGGAGGGATAGTGCAGTATAATAAGAATATATATTTCTGTTTAAAATTCAGAATTTAAAGAGGCCTTCAGTTTATTTGACAAGGATGGCGATGGAACCATTACCACAAAAGAACTTGGAACTGTGATGAGATCCCTGGGACAAAATCCTACCGAGGCTGAACTGCAGGACATGATTAATGAAGTCGACGCTGATGGTAAGTAGATAATATGATAAGACTCGACCCTTAATGAAGAATTATGATGAACAAAACTACACAATAGATTTTTCAAGGCGATATGGATATAACCGTAGAATAAAATACAATTTAAATGAAACATACATAGAATTTGAACATGATAAAGTTTATATCAAATATAAGCTTGTTAGTAAAAATACCGGTAAGTACAACATGCTATATTTACAGAGAATATAACCCAATCATGCAAAGCAAAGATGAAAAGGGATAAGTGTACACGTAAATGAGAAAGCAACCAAACTCCACAAAACCATAGGACGTTTAAGAGTCAACACACGTGTTTAACAATACACAAATCCCCCTCCCCCTTCCAACATACTAAATAAATGTCACTGAGATATAAATCATCCTTAATCTAGAAAAGTTAATTGAACGTTTATCAGAGAATGTATCTGCCAATATCACCAATTGCCTAAAGGAAACAAAAAGTTTTGAAAGCTTGGAAAATAAAAGAACAATACGATTTTTCAACTTGTAGTTACATAATTTTGTCTTGCCCCGACAACGAACTCACTACCTCCTTCTATGAACAAAATGATCGCAATTGATTTGCTACCTCAGTTGGTACATATTTACCTCTAAATGAATTGTGAGTACCTTTACACTACTATCATCATCAAACCTTAAGTGTCTTTTAGATAACGTAAAATCTTCACCGAGCTTGTTTAGGACCGTAAAATATAGTCAGCTATATATAAAACTCAAAAGTAGGTGCATGTATATGTTGCATAAATGATTTGATTTATGATTTTGTTAAACAAATAAGAGTTCTTTTCCTTAGAAAAAAATAATATTGTTTTGCTTTTTGACTTCTACAAAGACGATTAAGCTGTTTGTGTTGGCTTATATTACTTTCCAACAGCAAAAAAATACTTAGGAGTTGTAACATATGTAGACATATATAATAAAATTGATATTGATAGGTCTGTTTGGTAAGTAAAATTATCATCCTTTACAACAGACAAATACAGTTATATGCAAGGTATACCATCGTCTTGCAATTATACATTATGTACTGTGTTACAACCCTAGATAAAGACGACGAGGAAAGGCATTAATCGGCTAACGAAAGCTATATTTTATATAGCATAGTTGGTTGAGTGGTCTAGGGCGCATGACACGGCGCCAAATTTGTTGCCACGTTATCACAAACTAGGGAAAATCCAATCGAGAGAAGAACAAAAAAATTTGCATCTAACATTGTTGGCCAAATTTCAGACGAAGTATATATAAAATATGGTGTTAGCCCTGTATAACAACGGGCTATCCGATAGAGAACGTCTGTTGTAAAGTCAAATGTTTAGATTCGGTTCCTTTGATGTGGAGGTGTGGAAATGCTCAATTCTCAATTCTTAACCGTGGCCTTTTTGGTTGTGTTTTTTTGGATTAAGTTTGTTTTTTATATCTAAAAGTTTAAACAGTATTGTTAAAATCTCCCCACCATTTTTTTGATTTTGCAACTGGTGTGCCTAAAGTTTAATCCTATGTCCCACCGTAAATAAAGTACCTTAATTTTTTAAAATTTTTACATGGTTTTGTTTTAAGTTTACCCCTTTTCTATAATAAAAACAAAAAATCAGACCTAATCTGAAGTAACAACGCATGTCATGGATCTTTCATCTGAGATATGGATATCCAGAACCAAGACGCACGCGTTATAATCGAACACCTGAAACTGTTTTTTGATTTTTATAACTCGGACTTGTAAAGCACAAAAAGGGCTATCTTTTGAAGTACATTTGTGGTTGTATTTCTCCCAAAGTACAAAAAAACAGTATATACATAATGTATCTGGTTCGTTCCAGGGAATGGAACAATAGATTTCCCGGAATTTCTTACTATGATGGCGAAAAAGATGAAAGACACAGATTCCGAAGAAGAATTACGAGAAGCATTTCGAGTATTTGATAAAGATGGAAATGGTTTTATAAGTGCAGCTGAACTAAGACACGTGATGACAAATCTTGGAGAAAAACTTACCGATGAAGAAGTGGATGAAATGATCAGAGAGGCTGATGTCGATGGGGATGGGCAAGTTAATTATCAAGGTACGTTTCAATTGCCAGCTTATACTATACATGTACATTATGCATATTTATTTTTCACGATACGTTGCGATATCTATTGCAAAAAAAGAGCTTATTTTCTTTTAACTGCTTATAGACACGATAGAAAATCAAAATACGTTTGATAAAATTAACAGTATGTTGTAATATGTTAATTAGATAAACGTATCACTTTGGTGAATGATCAGTTCTATAGAATCACGTTAACTTATCACATGTCACAGTTCCTAACATTTCATAGGAAAATGTTATTTGATTATTAGCCTCATATACAGAAAAAAGAAAAGACGGACTTCATAAAACAAATAGTAATTTGACCTTTATGAATATAGATATTGCCCCTTTTTACCAAATCCATAAAAGTGGCAAGCAAACATCAAAGCAAAAAAAGACTGAAAAAGGGGCAAATGCTAACCTTTTTGTTACCTGTGGAATATATTACACATAAAAATCATATCTCATATGCAAAATATTACTAGTATATACATTTCAAAGTCATGATTTTTTTTACTTGTACATGTATGAACATTATATTTTTTCAGAATTTGTCCACATGATGTCAGCTAAGTGACCTATCATTGCTCAAGTTATATGTTTATCCAGAACTATAATGCGTTAGAGACTTTTTCTACATTATCACTACACAATATCATTGTTATAAAAACAATGATTGAAGAATATTCATTATTTTGGAATACTTTTTGTTTTATCTGTTGAATGTTATTGTTACATGTAATAAATAATGTATTAAAATGTATGTTTCAAGTCTTTTATATCGATCATTGTGCACACACATACACACACCATATTCTCAATAAAAACAATGTTGATGATATCACTTCTACCAAAATGAATCTTGCAGTTTTTCATATTAAACATTTAGCATAACAACGTGTCTTATACTTTACTGCTCATAACGTTTCTATACGAAAATTGCTGAAAAGAACAGCTCCCATTAATAATGCAAAAGTGCATGATTTCTATATCAGCAGATGAGTACTTTATTGAAATTTCTATGAAATCGTTCTTTGATTCCGTTTCATTGTTTTGTTTGTCGTATGTACTATTGATGTTATAAATTTTATTGCTTTTCTAAGCTGATTATTGTACGTTTTTTTTATGTTGTTATCAAATTAAAAATAACTGCCATATCTTAACCTCTGAATATATTTGTTTTCTTTTTTTAGTGTGATATTAAACTGTTGTTCTCTTGACCTGTCTTTATTAAAAGAAAATTTACCTGTTAGGCTTATTGGGAATGTAAAGTGTGACATACTACTAGTATAGTAATACTTCTTACCACCAAAAACTGTGTCCATGGCATCATGTCTTGATTGTTGTTCGTAGTTTAAATAGGCGATTAGCCTGAAAGTTTGTACCGAGGAGACAAGGGAGTAAATTATAGATTTTTCAACATCCTTATCTTTTAGAAGAAGGGATATCCCATCTTGATCCACTCTCTTCTGGTGCTTATTTCTGTAGGTCAGTTTATCACAAAGAAATATCGATGTAAGAAGGACAATTTAACTCTGATAATTCAATAATAAAAAACATGAACGGAATATCAAAACGTGGTTTATTTATTGTACATGTCATAAATATTGTATACGGAACGTATCTGGTGGATGCCACGCTTCACACACGATAGTTACTCCTTGTAGATTTCGAAATAGACTATCAAAGGCTCAAACTTCTTTCCCTTTTCCACCCTCCACATACTTCTCCAAATTAGCCAACATTCGTTCGTTTTCCCTGTTTTCGTTTAATTCATTTTCATCTTATATCATAATTTTCAGGTTTATCGATGCACATATGTATTTCCTTGTTGTAGACTAGCAAGTGTAAATAAATATACAAATAAGAATCCGAAAACTTAATGGCAGGATGAGAAAGAATTTTCATTTTCCAACAGGGGACTTTAAATAACATACAATTACAAGAAGTCAAAAGCGGACATCAAATTCCAGAGGGAGGTGTTAAATAGTGATCTTCCAACAAGTGAGGTTTTTTGGAAGTTTCCATGGTCCAGTATCTTCTATGTATTTCAGATAAGGTTCATCAGAAGGAATCGACAAATACTGCCGTGTTCACACCACAAAATTTACTCTAGAGTACGGACAAACATGTGCACCTGGAAAAGTTTTAAGGCATGGGAGAACATAGACAAATTACATTGAAACGTATTTAATGTTTTTGGACATGAAAAACCTTCCTGTATAAAAATGTATACAACTTTTATATATCTGAGTGCTACCAGGATTTAAAACCTTTCCAATTTACTCGACTAAGTTTCGTGGTGTTATATCTAATGTAGCTTGTTTGTACATTAGTTATGATATACCTTCAGATCTCGCTTTTGGCAAAAAGTTACTGCATTTCATGACCATGAAAAAAATATACTTTGAAGGAGATTTGGCATAGCATCCACTAGAGACCGAAGGGCGAGGATGAAAACTGTTTCTATAGGTCACCGTACCACCTTTAAAATTGAGCAGAACCCAAACAAATTCTATGATTGTGAAGAAATTTGCCGGATTATAGGAAACACAAGTCTTAAGGACAAGAGATCAACATATCTACTCTTACAAGCATAACCTTCTAACGTTTAATTACACCTTGATGCATTTTGTATAACCTTATTACCTTTTCTTCATTTCTGTCAATATAATGGAAAGACCAGTTTGAAATGTCAGTAATAAGGAAGGAATTGAAGTTGCTTAGTTTTCCATAGTTTTTCTCTTATTCAATGAAAAAATAACTTATAAATTGATTAGATCATAAAAGGGAAAAAATCAACTTTATTCTTAGTGAATATTTTTCACTGAAATGGTACATTCAGTGGTGAACGGGAAGTAACTCTTGGTATCCATTTCATAAATCCACGAAAAAATGAAAGAAAAATGCCCATGCATGTTTTTTTTCAACTTTTAATAAGCAGGTTACCGTGTATGAACTAAAGATTTTTTAAGTCTCGGCTAAATGTGTGTCAATTCGAAGGGCAATTTTGAACAGAAAGGATAAATCCGTGATATATACTTATACATTAGCATTTGACTTTAGATATGACTTTTTTTCATTTTTAATAAGTTAAAATTCATGTCACGATTTAAGTCCGTAGTCAAATAAAGTGATTTACCAACTAGTGTTAAGAAAACATTGCAATCCGGAACTTGTTCGTAAACAGTAACAAATGAAGTCAACAATATAGTTGTATATAAAAATAAAGAGATGTGGTATGATTGCCAATGCGACAACTATCATCCATGCAGATTTCACATGAAGTGGATGCAAGCAATTATAGGCAACCATACGGCCTTCAGCAATGAGAAAAACCCATACCGTATAGTCGGATATAAAAGGCAACGACATGAAAAATGTGAAATAAATCAAACGAGAAAACTAACGGCCTCTTTTATACCAAAACAATTTACGAAAAACAAATATCATAACAGACATGAACCAACGACAACCACTGAACTACAGGCTCCTGACTTGGGACAGGCACATAAAGAATGTGGCGGGTTAAACATGGTTGTGAGCGCTAAACCCTCTCCCTAACTAAAAAGATCGGTACGAGGCATACAATCAACGAACATAAAAACAATAGACACACGGCTCCGATATAAGAGTACTCACATGCAGTTACTGAAAGCTAGTTCAAAGCCAATTACAACTTATGCTGAATGGGGTGTATAAAATATAAGCATAGAGTGAAAATGGGCGGAAAAAAAACGAATACTGAAAATTGGTAAAAAAAAATAATGAATACAGAATGTAAACCCATCTACATGTATGCTTTTTGTATTAGTAAGCTATAAAAGGTCAAGCATGATAATAAAGTATGCATACTTCCCGTGTGCGGGAATTTCTCGCTGCGTTGAAGACCCATTGGTGGCCCTCGCGATCGGTTGTTGTCTGCTCTTTGGTCGGGTTGTTATTTCTTTGACATATTCCCCATTTCCATTTTCAATGTTATATAAATAATTCTTTTATTTTTATCACTGGAAAATTATTTTTCATTTTCAAATAGAATCTCGTGAGGAACAGTTCCCCATTTGGATTTTGTACCCAATTTCTGCATTTTCTGTTCGTTTCTTAACCGGCTTTATTTACTTATCTTTACACATTAGATAGTCAAATTATACAAATTCGGTTATTTCATGCTCAACTAGTCTACTATAGCACTGTTCTTAACAGGTGACCGATAATCCTGGTTAATTCATAATTCAAATGTAAATCTCTTTTAGCACGCCGCGGTGTCCCTAAGGTGCCTTTTTTACATATGTCAATCAAATGATATAAAAATAACACGGTAGATTGAACAGAAAGTAAAAACTTCCAAATATATATTTATACCATAGTGATTTGTCGCATTGCGGATATGTGGGATTATAGTTTGTCGCATTGCGGCAAAATTAAATCACCCGTCCTAAAATTTGAATGTGAATAAACTGTTAATTTTTCTTTAAATAAATGACTATTGCTCTTTGACATAAATCCAATCCTATGATATTTTTAAAAACAAGTTTACAAAAGGTAAAACTGACTCGACACATGTAGGTGGCCCGCAGTCAATGAACAGTTACACACTATTAAACAAATATTTCCATATAATACAGGTAAAAATGCTTGTTGAAATTATGCAAAAGGGTCTTATTGTAAAGAACAATAGCGCAAATTATGGTTAGTTTAAGAGATAATGTTTACCTCGAGGTGTAAACGGAAAACAATTGTAAATTTTGTATTAGCTGCTTCCGGGCATATTGTCATTGTTATCCTCTCGGCGCCTCTTGTAAAATAGTCGAAATAGATAAACCGACGGAAAAGTATACAAGCTGATCATCCTCTTACTGTCGCACCACATTTTAAAACGTTACAACATGGTAAGTCATTTAAACTCGTTAATTCTATTGTACATGGACTTTAAATGTATTTCAAATGAAATGATATAAATATTTGGTTGTCAAACAACAAAGAGCTTGACAATTTAAAAGCATTAAGATTTTAATATACCACATTATAATTGCATCTGTAAAATAATCGACAGTGTGTAAAATCACATTGTTGTTTCGCGGGCTTTAAATCTCGACAATGTGTACAATGAAATGTAAATGAGATTTATATTGCTATTTTGGCTATGTAAAATAATTGTAGTGTAATAATATTTATATGAAGTGTTTACAAATATCCAACGGCTTAACAACAAAGTTACAAATACCCAAAGTTACAATCAAACAACGTTACAAACATACAAATGTAGGAATAAACAATACTATCCTTATCCTTTTTTAAAATGTACATTGTTCGGTTTATATCTCATTTCCTCACCAAATGTACACGCCAAAATTAAAAAAATTGACATGTTTTTAACAAGTTATATTTAGTTTGCTGAGAAATGTTCAACGAAATATCAGATCCAAGGCTAGTTTTAAACATCATTTAATAAGTAGAAGACCTGCTTATCATCAGTCGATTGACTACGTATGGAATATTTGTGGGAGACATATACGAGAAGTTTAAACCGTATATATATATGGAATGATCGAAGTTCTATAATAGTTTAAATTCCTCAGTAAATACATTCATCGAAATAAGTCCATAGCAAATAAACGAAATATACTTCCAACACATAGGCACATTGTTCTGCTGCCATTGATTCCCAAGTCTCATGTATCTATAAGAGATGCTACGAGGGCCGACCACTCTCGATAGCCAAAACTGAACATTAAAAAAATCTCCATTTGATAAATACTAGTATCTCGATAGGCGAAGTACTGTAGTAGCTAGAATATGTAATAAACAAAATTATATTTCTTTCCTTAGGTTGCAATGTCATACATATTATTTTCTCTCACAGGCTGATCAGCTGACAGAAGAGCAAGTTGCTGGTAAGTATCAGAATATATAACAGGAAAACTGTCTGGATTTTCATATGTAAACATTGTTTATGTACCGATACAAACTATATATGGAGATACGGGTTTCCTAAGGCTTTCTCGGTTATTTCTTATTTGATTTTGGATTTTGTAATATGTATTTCAACATGATTGTCATTCTGACATAAGTTTTAACAATCCAAACCGGTTTTGAAATAATATTGTGTGGGTATTTGTCAATGTGCCTGACAAAAAAATAACAAAAAAACCCAAAAAAAACGAAAAAACAAAAAGCAAATGACTTCTTGAGGTCAACATATACGATCTGTCTATGATATTATATGCCATATGTCAATCTTATTTAATGAACCGTTCCGCCCGATGTCTAGAAAAGTTTGGAATAAAAATAACAGAACTTACCAAAAGTCTGCCAACAAAATTTAATTCCGTAAATATGGTACAATCTGGCCGAGACAATAATAGACGAGTCCGACTTTGAGCAGTCATGTCAACAGGTGGCTGGTAAAACTGTTTGTTGTTTTTGTTTTCGATGAATATAAAACTCGGAACAGAAACTACAATATTTTGTGGGAATTCAAATTTGCTATTATTAAATAACATACACATGCTGTGAGTACATTCTTGCAGCAGTCAAAATCTATCAACCTAACGCATACTTACATATGTAATGTGAGGGTATCCGATTTGCATCTATTTTGACAGTTTTTGCAACGTCATGCTTCATTGCGCCCATGCCTATCTTATCCTCCTTAAAAATCGAATGATAGATGTTTTGCTTTATTTCTCCACATTTTGTATGAAATGGATGTGACATATATTAATTTCTCATTTTTAAAAGTCGACTTTTTGTAGATGTCGCATGCAGCTTTCCGTAAATTTTACTTTTTGCTTCACTGGAGACTTTCTCTGTTGATATATAATGTGACCGTTTTGTGTATCCTTAAGAATATTTAGCTGTGTTGAAAGATGTGCATAATGATAAATAATAAAAAAAAAAAAAAAATTGTTTAGTCTCTACGAAAACCTGTATGATAACTATTGATTTTTATGCAAAATGGGTGCAATTTGGGTACTCTAATACGTTAAGTAGCTCGTTCTGAACAGTGAAAAAGAGTAAAAGAATAACAATAGACGATTTATAAATTTTGCATACTTCACATCGAAAATATATATCACATTATGCATTTTGTACGCATAGTCCACAATGTAAACTATAATTAAATGTTTTACTTCTATCAGATAAATGTTACCCTGCTGGATGTTTAATGAAATAATGATATCCTTTACCTTATTTTGCTATTGCAATGACGCAGCTTATTTCTTAAAATTTAATGAGGATCCCACTAACAGCCCTACAGTTTTTTTCTCATAATAAGTATTTTTTACAGTCACGGTAAACAATTATTTGGTTTATTTTATTTAATAATGGTACTTTGAGTAAAATGGCTTTAGTCCCCGCAAATTACAGGTAGCGCTGAGCACTGAACAACACACTGAAAGGTCATCTTTGACTTATGAAATCGAATTTAATTTGTTATAATTGTATTCTATGATTCTTCACTTACTAAGATTTATAAATACCTACTCAAGTCTTCGTCTTTCCAAGTAGTTTATGTAAGTCGTAAAAATCAACGGAAACATACAATAATTTGCTCTGATAGTTTGTATTTTAATTTATAAGTTTAGGATTTCAGTTGATAAGTGCACTTCAGTTTTCAGATAAGTGTGTATTTTCACTGTAGGTGAAAGAATATTCATCTCAGCCTAGTGATCATTTATTGAATTTGTCGAAAATGTCTGCCTCTGAAAGGGTAATATAAATTTAAGGAAATGCAGAAAACCCATTTATATGACAGCACCCCAATAACATAAGTGAACCATACTAATAAGTTGTCCAAGCCGTGACCTTTCTGTGGTCAGTTGGTTATAGGTTCAATATTGTTAGGAGAAAACCCGTGTTTAAGCTAAGATGTGTACTTGCATACCAATATCAACAAGTCTTCGATTAAGATATTTAACAATTATATTTTAATGACACCAACAAACAATGATGTATAAGACCAAGCTTGTTAACAGCAAAGTTTGTAAAAAGTCAAATAAATGTATTATGAATTATAAAATAACAACATTTGGGTATTATACTTTATGCTAAGAAAATGCTTCTTAGCATATACATCATTATGGATATCAGTCCAAAGTACTTGAATCGAAATTTATTTCTACGAATAAACACTGTATGGATAATTTCGTAGAAGACACGAAACAAGAATTGTTACCTTGTTCACCGCTTGATTAACTCTGATCAGTGATTTGTAAATAAAATTGTTATACCTTTTTTAACAGAATTCAAAGAAGCATTTAGTCTGTTTGACAAAGATGGTGACGGTACCATTACCACAAAAGAACTGGGAACTGTCATGAGATCTCTGGGACAAAATCCTACTGAGGCTGAACTACAGGACATGATAAATGAAGTAGACGCTGACGGTAAGAGTGAGAGAGATGCAATTTCCGTTAATTCAAGGAGGTTATATAACCTTCTTAGTCAAATCAAGGTCAAACATCAAGAAATTTTTTTCTATAAAATTTTGCAAAATGTATTTTTCTGGTTCTGTATGCTAAAATTTTTCCAAAACATATGAACTTTATAGAAAGAAATACAGTATTTCTAATCAAACTCAACTGAAGAGGTCGATCACGCATGTTTACAGAAAGTTGCAATTCCTCAAAAAATAATCATACAATGATAAAACTGCTGTGAAAGTAAAATATATTTAGGGTTCATATCCATATGTTCAAAATAACATAAAAATTTCGTTAATAAACGAAAGAATTTTTTCATATTTTTAATTGCAATCAATGTACGTGAGAAACAGCCTTAAATACGACCATCTGCAATTAGGGATCTTTTTGCCTTTCTGCCTTGAGATAACACACCAATAGGTGTCAATATCAGGTAGAAATCAGAAAATTAGTTCCCATAATCGAAGAAAGGGTAATAAAAGTGCAAACAAGAATACGCAAGATATATAATGTGAAAATATGTCTTCAAATTCGAACTTATTTTTCTTTGCTAGTCTTGTTTGATCTTACTCCTGAATCAGTGACACAATTGAAATAAATTACTTGCGTTCAGAACCAATTGACCGTTCTTTACATGCTATTTATCAGCCAGAAATAATGCCACTGCTTTATTTGTTTAAAATTAGTGTTTGAACTGTTTAAGGTTTTTAATTAGTTTAATATTCGAATGAATACTGTTTGCATCAATCGCTTTTAAATCAAAAACCATGTCATGTTTTGTGTTACACATTGTTAAAATATTGTGAACGTTTGAATATGCAGTTACCTGATTACCTTCCTGAGCGCCTGAGATCAGCCGTGGTTTCTGGTAGGATTCTTGTTTCCCTTTTTACGTGTATGACTACCATGACTAATCTTACCAGATAATTTTGTTTCGATTATCGACATAAATATATGACGACCGTCAATTTAGAATAGATCTACATTAGATTTCATTCGGTGTTTTAAACCTCTATAAACAATCATCTATTGTGGTAAACAACAAGGATTCTATTGCTATCGTCTCTTGCCCCAAAAGTCCCAGTTAATACGTATACTTTTTGTGCCCTGCTAACCGATTTCGATCACTGCTGTTTAGAGACATACAAGATCCATCTTCCTCTTTTGAAAAAAGTTTTCACATATTATTTTCCTAAAAATACATTGCTGGATTCATTGAGTGTACTTGTAAATCTTAAATGAACTTATGTGTGTAACTTTGATTATCTTTTTGATTATCTTAAAATAGGAAATGGAACAATAGATTTCCCAGAATTCTTGACAATGATGGCGAGGAAAATGAAGGATTGTGACAATGAGGATGAGTTACGAGAAGCGTTCAAAGTTTTTGATAAAGACGGTAATGGATTCATAAGTGCAGCTGAACTTAGACACGTGATGACAAACCTGGGAGAAAAATTAACAGACGAAGAGGTTGATGAGATGATCAGAGAAGCAGATATTGACGGTGATGGACAAGTGAATTATGATGGTAAGTAGTATCATATTTTAAATGCAATATCAATATCAGCTATATTACTAAACGAGTTCATCTTTTTTTTCTTGTGTGTCGCTTCTACATATTCTAGATCGACTCGATAAGCTAGCAAGCGCAGTTTTGATTTTATCAGTTTTCTTAACGTTTTTTGAATGGAGTGCATCATCATGATGTTGCTCAATATTAAGTAATCTGTAATGTTTAGTGAATTGGTGTTTGTCTGTAAGTCTTTCTTTATATAATTCAGTTTATATTAAGAAAATACTTAAAAGCAAAATGAAAGAAAAACATGACAAGAAACCAGCAAAAATGTTTAAACCCCTATTTCATACATTAAATGAAAATGACTAAAAACCATACTAAAACTAATGTACAACGACAAACCTAGTGAATGATAACGATGTAGAACATCAAATACTGAAAACAAAATGCAACAAAATGAACAAATTTTAGACTGCAAATGACAATATCTTATATTCTGTATAGATTGATTGATTGTTGGTTGCTTAACGTCTAGTGGCAAATATATTCTGTATAAACAATAATCAATTATCTGTATAGTTGCATGGATAAACGTCCTGTACATGTGTTATAGAACCAAACTTTCTGTAGGCAAAATGTGGAGCTAACATGTCCGAAAAACAAGAACAATCGATGTTAATATCCATGAGAACTTCAGAATAATCAAATTTAATATAAACTGTACTAAATCGGATGGTGACCTTAAGTCCACCAGAAAGCGAAGCAATCCCTGCATTGCACAATTGAGTCTTTTTCAATATGTTTTGATTCTTAAATTTGTGTCAAAAGATTATTTTAAATAATACTAAAGAGCATATTTTTATGTACTTCATCAACATTTTTAATTCAATGCATATGTATTTTTCTAATGATATTTGTTGTCTTTTTCAGAATTCTGCAAGATGATGACAAATAAATGAAATCAACGATTACATACTTGAATGTGGAAATCGTATCAACCCTGAAAAAAAATATATTTTGCAATTCTCTCCAAGGTGTTGACGAAGTGCCTTGGTAATATTTACAGCAATATTGAACAATACATACAGTATCATACTGTTGTTGCTGGTCAACATTTTGTGATGCTTTATATTAGAACATGTATGCATTTGAAACAAATAAAATTTGTATATTTTTAGAAATTATTTTACTACATAAATACAGTGACTGGTAACGCCTGATATAATATCCAGTGTGTTGAGACCTGACATCTGCAATTCGCCATTTCAATAATATTTTTTTTTATAACTTTTAATATGAATAAATTTGACATGAAATGTCCTCCATAAGATTTAAGACAAATATTTAGTATAGTTAAATGACGACCACATTCTCAAATCACTATTTAAAAGTAAATATCCTTATTGTTTACTTCGTGATATTTATACTTTTATTACATTTACTTAAGATAAATCTTAACATAGTTTAATGTGATGTAATTCATGAAAATATAGATCTGGTTTTGAAAAGAATTTAAAGAGTAAAAAGAGGATAGACCTTGCATATACGTCTCTTAGACAGTAACCCAAACAGAACAAGCAACCAAAATGAGGAAGTTGACTTTTTTACAAAGCTTATGCATGTTTAATGTGGTATTAAGTATTAAAAAATTAGACTTGGTTAAGCCGGTTTTCAATTGAGGGCAGTTGACAGTTATGATTTATCTACTCTTTGTACTATACTACCATATAATCCTTGTTCATGAAAATATTCTGTCAATACATTTGAGTATATTAGTATCTATCATGGTACAAATAAAGTAAAGTACTGATACTCCGATGATAACCAACTTTGCCCAACGTATCGCCGATTTGATTTTTTCCTATTATATGAAATACATTTATCCTTTAGACTTCATAGAGACCCAACAAAAACCACTTTTTCCATTGTTTAAGTAATACCTGCAGATATTTAGACTATAGTATCTAAATAATCTATATTTTCTCTATATCAAGGAAAACAACTTGTCCGTCTTAACATACTTCTTACTAAAAAAACTATATATAGGTAATACACATGTAGGTTTTTTCTTTTCCGAGCTTGAACCTATTATTTCTAGCTGAAAATGGGTAAAAAGTAGGTCGCGTTTCTTTCCTATTGTTTATTTTGTTCTTTGATTTGATAGTGTTGTACGGTATGCTTATAACAGAGTGTATATTTCTTACTTGGTTCGATATTAATTTGTTAAATTTTCATTTGTGAAAATTTATAAAACAGACATAATTATCGTGAATAGGTCAATGTTTTAAAGATGATCGAAGAATTATATCATCAAAACTTATTATGAATTATGATCCCACTGCAGGTAATAGATTAATTGTGTATCGTATCTTTTTAATTTGGTAATGCCATAGACATTGAACAAGCTTAAGAATTGCACATCAATTCTTTTGTGCTTACAGATTAAGGATGAGATTAAACAAATAAGATTATTGAATAAATAAATAACTATAAGAATTAATAGATAAAGCTGACTAAGCTGTTTAAGAATTAGAACTACTTTCAGGATTTGTTCTATGATAGAACTGTACAAACTGTTATATTAAGTTAGAGCTGTCAAAAACTTTCACAGGATAAAACTGTAGAATCTGTCCTAAATTAGAACTATCTAAAGGTGTTCTAGGATAAAACTGTAGAATTTGTCCTAGATTAGAACTATCTAAAGCTGTTCAAGGATAAAACTGTAGAAGCTGTCCTAGATAAGAACTATCTAAAGCTGATCTAGGATAAAAGTGTATAATCTGTCCTAAATAAGAACTATCTAAAGCTGTTCTAGGATAAAAGTGTATAATCGGTCCTAGGTTAGAACTGCCCAAAAACTAGTCTAGTGTAGAACTTTCTAACACTTTTCTATCATGGTAGAACTGTCCTAACTATTCTTAAGTAGAAAGGCATCTGTATTAAATGAAAAATTTCGTTTTCCAAATTTGGGAGTGCATACGATTCCCTTTTTTCTGCAGTATTCGTGTTGCTGTAAAAAAAAAATGATATAAGAGTGTTATATATTTTTATAAGAAGATTAAACTGTAGTAACTCGTTTAATAAAAGGGATTTGTATGACGTGTATAAGCTAATATGCTTGTGTCGTTTGTAATACCGATTGAAAAGGAATTAAGTGCCTTTCCTAACTGACTTATTTTAATTGTGCATATGAAGTTCAAAGATACCTTCTTTTTATTCTTCAAGGGTAGTTACTGTATTTCAAATATGAATGATAAAGAAGAGGAGAGTAGGAATACAAAATATTGCATTCTTATCTATTTTTTGTAAAAAAAATCTACAGCCCTTAACACATCCTCGAAAAAAAAGGGGGCGGGGAAAAAGAAAACGGTATCAAAAAGAAAATTACATTTCCAAATTTCTACACAAAAAGTATTAAACTTTGTAATGTCACTTCATACTATTACAAATATCTATAATACTAAAATAACGAGGTCCAATTTGTTAGCCGGCATGGGGTAAAAACGACGAATCAAAGAATTCAATTTTATATATAACTAATATAGGACAATGGTGTTGATTAAAAATAACACCATTCCAGGCACTTTTGTTTTCCATATAATTATTATTACCAATAATTAACAAGTTCCGGGTCGAATCCGATACCGATACCAATAGTATATATATGTTACCTGTAACCTATTACCTAATCTATACGTTCCGCATCTGTCAGGCGCACCACCAAACGGTGTATTTGTGATTTGCTATATGCAGTGGTCATAATAACACCTAATCTCCGTCATTATACAGGGTTGACACTACTAAATTCAATCATTCTCACTTTGTTTCCGGTTGTAGCATTTTAATCAGCATGACTTTATAAGATGACAATACGAATATTAAAAAATCAAGACTTAAAATAAGGCGTAGGTACAGTTTCCAATTTGTTAGCCGGCATGTCGTAAAAACGGCGAATCAAAGAATTTAACTTTATATATAACTAGTATAGGACAATGGTGTTGATTAAAAATTACACCATTCCAGGCCCTTTTGTTTTCTAAATAAATAATATTACCAATGATTTATAAGTACCAGGTCGACGGGTTCAAACAGAATGATTTTGAAAGCAGATAAACCGTACATCTTATTATCAGCATGACTTTATCAGATGACAATACCAATACTTCTATTATTATTATATTATTGCTATTATTATTATATTATTGCTATTATTATTATATTATTGCTATTATTATTATATTATTGCTATTATTATTATAGTATTGCTATTATTATTATATTATTGCTATTATTATTATATAATTGCTATTATTATTATATTATTGCTGCATAATTGGATACTTTAAATCAGTCACGGACCCGCGATGTCGCGGGTGTGTTCTAGTATCTTCAAAATGATAGCAATGACCAAACCATATAAACCAGTGTACTATATAGTAGTAGTATGGGTTTTCCAAACCGGTTTTAGTTCGGGATTAACAAATAAGAATATAGCTTAGTGTTTTGAACTTTTTTCAAACTAGCTACAAAAACAAATAATCATGATTCATTTCATTAAACTTCTTCAAAACAAAAGACGGTTTTCGAATCTATACTATTAAAATAACGAGGTCCAATTTGTTAGCCGGCATGACGAAAAAACGACGAATCAAAGAAGTAAACTTAATATACAACTAATATAGGATAATGGTGTTGTTTAAAAAATACACCATTCCAGGCCCTTTTGTTTTCCACATAATTAAATATTACCAATGATTTACAAGTTCCGGGTCGAATCCGATACCGATACCTTTAATATACTATGTCACATGTAGTTTCCGGTTGTAGTTACCTGTTACCTTCTGTAAATCCCTCCTCTATTAGGAGAACCTGGTTTTCTTTCAGTAGGTGTACCTAAGTTAATTAAAAAATTAAATTTAGTTTATCAAGAGTAAGTTTATTGTAGTAAGAAAACCAGGAATGGTTCAAACAGAAAGATTTTGAAAGCAGAGAAAACTGTGCACCATACAAACAGCATGGCTATTTGATGATAATACGAATAATAAAAATCCAAGCTAAAAATATGGCATAGGTACTTTAATTCAGTCACAGACCATGTCGCGGGTGTGTTCTTGCTCTGTGTAAGGTACAAATTTTAAACTTGAACTTTTGATTTTATAACTGTTAGATCCAGCGAGTAATGAGCCAAAACATGTTTGAAAGTATAAAATATGTAAAATCAGATATATTTTCCCAAACCTCCTTCAGAAAATGATGGGCAGCAGTAATCGGTATTCAAGCCTTACCTAATAGTATCATTATTTTGAAGTAAGGTTTAAAGTTACATGTGAATAAATCAATAATCTTTTTCTCATCACGACACATTTTACAATAAAAAAAGTATCTTAAGTTCTACTTATAATGTTCTTGACTTAACATTTTATTCTCTGAAGTCGCATGTCATTATTTGCCAGAAAGGTTGACTACAAAATACAAAATTGTCATTTTCATGATACTGTTATTTAGGTTTAAAAGCCATGCATCAAAACACAGAAGTGTATCAACTGAAACATATATCACAAACACGTGTATGTGATTGATAATTTCTCATTGCACAGTGATATGTGATATACACAACGTCAGCCCTCATAAAAAATATCTTTGATCTACGAGCAAGACAAACAAAAGGACCATTGTTCATGAAATTTTGTAACATAATGATAACAGTAATCAGTTATGGCAATCCGTTTTACTATTTATTCTAGCTTCAAGATATCTCATATAATATATAAGATATCTTTAAGTTATATAATCTAGTTTTTATAAGATATCTTATAAACTATATATATATCTTGAAGTTAGAATAAATAGTAAAACGGCTTATCATAGTAAATCGATCAAGAGTAGTTCAAATTAAACGATAATGAAAATCAAAATTTATGAATTACGTGCAACCGACGCGCTTTTATTGATTTACCTTCACCAGAAACAATAAAACCCAACTTATGAAATTAGCGTGGGGCGTTTGTCTTCATGTAGATAACTTTCCAGTGTATACTAACGAGGCAAATAAAATTCTGCAACTACGATAGGCTGTCACAAAACTGTCAAAATTCCATATACATTTACTTTTATTTGATCTCATTGTCTTTATTTTATACACATATAACACTTTCCACCAAATAATTTTTCCCCTTAATTCCCAAACATATGTTTAGGCCTATTTGGCTATTCCATCTTATTTGGCAACTTAATTCGATATCACATTTGGCACAACACATTTTAATAAGTCTTTGCCTTCTTAATCTAGCTGCAGCGATGCACATTAAGTTTTGCCAATTGAATGCATTAGTCACGTTTAACATGCATAAATTATCCACTCTTTATTTGTCTGCTGGAATAGCTGTAACTACGGCACTGTCGTTCTTTGTTATACTAGCTGTTTTGGTTTGTATCCTGTTCTCTTGGTGGCACGTTTGTTCTCAATAATGTCATGCCTTTGGCTCTATGTTTGGTAAATTTATCATTTATCTTATTAATTTATTTTTCTTAACTTGTCAAAGTGTTGCTTATCTTATGTTTTGTTTTAAAATATCGACATTTGTTTTTCTCTAATTTGAACATTTCATTTCATCAAAATATTATTACATTTATTGTTTTTTTGTATAATGCTCCAAATCGCGTAAGCCATGGCTGACCGTGCGACTGAGACCCTCATTGGTAATCAACGTCGTTAAACATCCCCGTAGTAGTAAACCTAAACTTTTAAAAGTCAGGGATGTATAAATTCGTAGAAACATTAGAAGCTATATGACAAAAACGGACATATAAACAAGAATATCCAAATTTAGTTAAGAAACACTTACAAATGTGATTGACCTGAAAAGAGCCAACATACATTAATAATTAACGTCTAAAGGGTATTATTAAAAGATAGACATTTAGCCTGCATGCTTTTTTATTCTATACATTTTATAATACTAGCGGTCATATCGGTTAACTGGCATAAGACAATTCGAACTTTTTTACTAGAGATACTGAGGATTATTGCAGCGAATATTAATCGGGTAATGATTGGCTAATGGCATCAAAGATATACCATATCGGACACAAAATGAAAGGAATAGCGTACTTGCATAATGTTACTTATCTGCCTGTGTTAGCTTATTAGACTGAAATTGGTCGATGTCTATAATTCAGGAGACAAACGCAGCTACATTAAAACAAACAAGATAACTAATAAGGTACTGTGCTATTGATTGCTAGTAGTTAATAAAAGCCAAAGGTTGTTATCACAATAATGTTATGCCTTCTTATCATGCTTATCGCACATTATTCAAACTAGGTGCATGTAATACAACCGGTCCAATTTTCTTCCGTTACGGATTGGGTTATTGAGCAACAAAAACCTATTTTGATTAAAAAAAAAGGTATTTACATTGTATAAATGTATCAAGTTAAATAAAAAAATCCGTTAGTTGACCGCTTAAATCGCAAACTACATATATACATGAATACAGTCATTATGATGTTCTTGGATAAACACACTTCTCGGGTTGGATTTAAATGGATCTTTTCTTGTAGGTCTACATTTAAAATCAATTTTAGTCAATAAAATATAATACACACGTCAACACACTATAGAAATATTCGCACAGTCAAATATAATCTATTAATACAAATCCAATACACTATATCAAAACATCTCATGTGAACTACGGCGGCGATAGCAAAATGGTAAGACTTTAGTTTTATAGATTAACAACTAATATTTATTACTGAACTACGGAGATCACTGTATATATAAGATGTAGCCCAACAAGTTTGTACATTATACAGATTTCAAATTAATTATTTACATTAGTTCTTCTGTACAAAATCAACTAACGAGATATTTTAATTAAAAGGTCGTAGAAAGTGAAATGTTGATAGAAAAACTAAATAAAGTGATGACCGAGTGAACGTTGCACCGACGTCAAAATATATTGAAAGGACATACACTCACGACTGACGTAATGAAATGACTACCGGAAGTATGACGTCATAAATGTAAAAATCATGACGTCTTCTGATTTACCGTCGCAATATTGGGTAAGATCATACATTTTATATTCCTTATTCATGTTCATTATAATCCTTGCACCAGCTTATCTGAAACCAATGGCTGATATGCATGAATCATTTGCAGTGTGTCACTGACATGTGGAGCCAAACTCCCCGGCAGTTCCAGCTATACACCTTATTTGTCCGCCATTACTGGACATCACAAAAGTTCCCGTAAAATGTTGACGTCATAATAGAAAATATCTGACGCCACAATGGAAAAGTGATTGTCGTATGACGTCAAAAGTTCAAGCGGGACAGATTCTCGGGTCAACTGAGCGGGACAGATTTCCAAATAGCTAAAAGGTGTATTGGGGGGAGGGGGGGGGGGGGGGGGGGGGGTGTCCTTCATTTCTGTAATTTTTACGTCATTTTTCTCAATCTCTTTAAGGGAAAACAGTTCCGGAACGGAAACGATCACTGTACGGAGTTTGATGTGGAGCAGGCTCTGTTAACCCCTTCGGGAGCACCTGATATCACCACCGGTTTCTGGTGGGGTTCGTGTTGCTCAGTCTTCAGTTTTCTATGTTGTGGTTTGTAGACTTTTGTTTATCTTTTCGTTGTTTTTCGCTTTTAGCCATTAAATTTTCTGTTCGTTGTCAACTTTAATATGAGTTTGACTATCCCTTTTGGTATCTTTCGCCTCTTTTTTGTTGTTGTTCTGAAATGTATTAAAGAGGCGAATGGTACCAAAGAGACATTCAATTTTCATAAGTCGATAAGAAATTGACAACGCCATGTCATAAAAAAAACGACGGAAAGGGAAACAACAGTCAAAACAAAACACTTTATATTTTAAAAACATCTGACACGAAAATTCAAAAGACCAAAAACTGCCACATATGTTAATCCTTAATAACCGAACGTATGCTATAGGATATTGTCTGGGCTTTTAATACATACATTATGCATTGAATTGATTGCACAAAAAAACTAATTGACGATAACAATCATCATCACTGTCTACATAATAATATACACTAGAACACACCCGCTATCTCGCGGTTCCGTGACTGAATTAAAGTAGGCTACCTACGCCTTATTTGCAGTCAGGATTTTTATTATTCGTATTGTCATCTCATAAAGTCAGGTTGATTACAAGGTGTACAGTTTTCTCTGCTTTCAAAATCTTTCTGTTTAAACCCATCCTGGTTTTCTTACTACAACCAGATGAGAGCGGACGTGAATATTTTTGCAAAGAGAATCCCTCAACGTCATTGAAATTGTTCTGTCAAATTGGTTTCATAGATAAATATTATCCTTACATCGTATATTTTATGTTTTGGACTACATTTTTTTGCTGAGGATAGTTTCTTCAGGAATTTTCAGGTTTGTTTGAGCATGTGGTCAGATGGGATCCATTAGTAGTTTCCATGTGGGAAACTATCAGACCAATCTATTTGATGGCTGAGGGTTTTAGCTGTACCCCTAATGGATCGGTAGTTTCTGTCCGAGATCCTTTATCGTAGGATTTTCTGCTTTCCTCTACCAGGAATACAACTGGGCATTTAGCGGTAACGGTTTGGAATCCAAGTATGTCCTTACCGGTTTCCCGTTAGTTGTCATGGCATTTGTGCGGAATCCGGGGTGACATTTTCTCTTATTTTGTATATATTTTGCACTTTTATTTTGCACTATTTATATTTTGAAGATGACCGAATCAGGTGAGTGGGTGTGTTCGTATGTTGTATTGCATTGTATTTATTCATGTTTTGGGAAGGCTAACTTTCTGGAAGTAAGTCCCGTCACGGCCATGCTGGGAACTGGGTAGGCAAATGCTCACATTAAATCTGTGTCGATACAGTGTTCTAAATGTCCTCCTTTACACCATAACTCATGATGGTGCTCCTAATGAAAGGAGGCTTATACGTAGCATACATACCGGAAACTACATGTGACATATATTATTGATATCGGTATCGAATTCGACCCGGAACTTGTTTTAAATTATTGATAATATTAATTATGTGGAAAACAAAAGTGCCTGGAATGGTGTAATTTTTAATCAACACTATTCTCTATATTTGTTATATATACAGTTGAATTCTTTGATTCTTCGTTTTTATGTCATGTCGGCTAACAAACTGGACCTCGTTATTTGAGTAGTATAAATGTTATACTATCAAAGAAATCATGAAATTAAAAACAGAAGTTGTTTTTTAAGAATTTCTAGCAAATACCTTGAACACTTTGACCTTGACTTATTTTCAAAAACCGTCTGACAAGGCAATCAGTAAAGTGCAGCTCTTTTGAAATAAAAGAGAATTTATTTCTAGGTATTTAGTGGTTGTCGTTTGTTTCTCGTTTCTCGTTTTTTATGTAGATTAGACCGTTGGTTTTCATGTTTGAATGGTTTTACACTAGTCATTTTGGGCCCTTTATAGCTTGCTGTTCGGTGTGAGCGAAGGCTCCGTGTTGAAGGCCGTATTTTGACCTATAATGGTTTACTTTTACAAAGTGTGACTTGGATGGATAGTTGTTTCATTGGCACTCATACCATATCTTCTTATATCTATTTATCCAACATATGTTTCTTGTTCAGTCTGTAAGTTTGAAAAAATGATAACAACTTTGCAATATACAAGCATGACAGTTGTGTGGTAGTTGTGTTTAAAATTAGAATGTGAAAATACACTAAGATTAGGGTTGATAATTATTATGTATTGCTAAGATTATTTCATTTACAACCCTAAAATCCACAATGCAGGTATTAGACATCAACAGTTCTATAACCTTATAGTATGCTGAATATTTCCTATTCCAATGAAAAATGATGTGGTTCATACATTTTTGTATTATTCAAAATTATCAGTCAATTATGTGTTCTACAAGGATCACCAGTCTTCACCTTTCATCTGATACCTTAATTACTAAAATATATGCTACATAGTTTTAGATTTACACCTATGCGTAGGAATTATTTTGTTTTAAATATGTACTACTTTCCAGTATGTTCTTCTTTCCCGGGCCCGATTAGGTGGTGTTACATCTTACAAAGTCTATCCAAATTTATATTTGCAAAGACTTCCGCTCAAGCCGGTGCTAGGGGCCGTCTTAAACTTGCAGGGAGGTTAGAGTTGTTTTTTGTTTTTTGTTTTTTGTTTTTATTTTGATCCGTCTTGAAGGCCTGACTGTGACTTTGAGATGAAGAACAGCAATAAAAGCGCTGTTCCTTTGCTTATTGTGTGTTTTTTTGCTGTGCATGTACTGATTTTGTGTCCTATATCCTTTGTTTTTTTCTATTATATTATCGGTTTGTTGTAGATTTGAGCTTATATCGAAGGTAGTGACAATAACATGCATACTTTATAGAACAGTGTATTTTTTATATCTTTGTTTCAGAATGATCCAAAAGAACACTTGAAGTTAGGTATGTTCCCAATCCAGCTTGATATTAAACTTATCTATGAAACTATATAAAACATATATGTGCATTATACATTAGTCCTAAGACAAACTTGAAAGTAACAATCTTTTGAACGGTAATTGCACTTTAAATACTACCTTTGAACAGTGTACTTGTCGTTTTGATTTAGAATATGTATTAATGCATAAAGATATGCATGTTTAAAATTGACTACATTTTACAGAATTGCCTAAATGCTCTCCAGCGTCGCACTAAGGTGCAGTAAGTCCCGGCTCCGGTAGCAAGATAGTTAATATTAACCAACATCTTCTGAAATATTCTTGACACCATATGTTTGATAGGAGTTATAATACATATGAAACTTTTTCGGATTCATAGTTAATATGAAAGTTCTAAATAAATAAGTACTGTATACATCAATTTATTTCTACGAGTTCTGTCAGTGGTAGCTTGTTTGCACACAAAACAGTTCGATTATCACTGAGGTCGTACGCTCAATTTTTGGGACTACGAATCATAGGAATTTCAGGATTTACTAAAATTTTTAAACGACTAGTTACCTTCATCTTCATATACAATTTCGTATTCTTTCACTACATAACATTTTTCAAATTAAATCAATTTCCTCCAGTGGCAAATATTTCATACTTATCTAGTACAATTAGAACATGTGTTAAGGTCAAGCCTGCATTAACACTTCATTTTGACTTATTACATTAATAATCCATATTACAGAGTTTAAAGAAGCATTTTTACTGGTTGATAAAACTGATACGGGACTTATACCGAAAACAGAACTTGGAAAATGTGTCCGAGCCTTAGGACTGAATCCTCCAGAAATAGAAATATCAGCAATTCAAGGAACGGTTGATCCAGAAGGTAAGCATACATGCACAGAAACAACATGGTTAAGAAATACTGGTTCAAAAGCCTGGTAAAAATATGCCTTGATTTTATCTTGACATTCTCCCGTTTTAATTACAATGTTGAGTGCATGTAACTAATCTTAATGCGTTTCTAATAGTATACATGCTTAACTTAACAGTATCTAATGTTTTTTTTTATAAACACATGGAGATTGTGTCCATGGGACACAAATGATGCCCCCTCTTGCATGTAACGTTATAAAGGGTTATAACTCCGGAACGGTAAAAGTGACGCCACCCAAATTCGAACTTGATCTGTGTTTTGTGGTAATAAGCATTGTATATAAGTGTAATAACATTTGGTTCAGGCAAACTAAAGTTAGAGAACGGAAACTAATTTTGGGACATACGTACGAACGGACGGACAAGGGTAACACTTAATGCCCCTCCGCCGCGGCGGGGGCAAAGTGAGTTAGATACAGATGTATCTCTGCATTCTAGGAAATCAAAGTTGTAAGTAAAGTTCACAGGTTAGGTTTTATGGTGTATTCCTTTTTCCTTATTAATCGTCCCGAACATGCATGAAATATTTGCCACCGAACTTTAACCAAACCTCAATCAATCAAGCAAGTAATCAATCTTTTTTATGAACAGTTTTTAGTGTTTTCCGACTCTTTTTTCTAAATTTAAATACTAAAATCGCATCAATTTTTACAATTGAATTTTACCAGGTAATGAATCAATAGACTATGAGACGTTTCTTTCATATGTGGAGAACAAGGCTCAAGAAGTTCACCCAGACGATGAACTGCGAGAAGCTTTACGTGTTTTTGATAGAGATGATAATGGATATATTAGTGCAGAAGAGTTAAAGCGAATGATGTTAACATCCGGTGAAAGTTTAACGGAAGAGGAAGCAGATGAGATGATGAAATTGGCGGACAAAGAAGGAAATGGACGAGTAAACTATGATGGTAACTGTAATACATTTACTCAAAACCATTACTTATTATACAGGACATGATATCATTTCATTTACAGGAATAAAAAGCGGGCTACATATTTTAGTATGAAACCTGGTTGATTTGAGCAATATCCGCTTTAAATATCCTTGCCTAAAATATAATGCAAAAGTTAACTCATCTGCTAAAATCACAATTTTTTATTCATAGATAAGTGAATAATTTAACATAGTTACATGAACTTGAAAAACCATGAACCTCGAAGAAATAAAACGGTAAAAAATAAAGATATGCTTGTTTGTTTCTTTTCAGTTCCAATCACCTTTACACTTCACACTTGATATATTTCATTTTACTTGTATATTTGATCCGCTGGCTTTTATTAAAAAACACATTAATATATGATCATACTCTTCGACTTATGAGTTTTGAATGTCCCCTTTGTATCTTCCGCCTCATTTTATGAAGCAGATATCCATATCATTTTGTATTTTTTCTACGGTGTTAATCAAGGTTTTATTTCTATTTCAGACTTCGTTAATATGATGCTATCCGTTTGATGACTACAGCACAGTTTTATGCCTTTTTACAAACATTTATGCTGCGAAGTGTTCAGTACTGCATGGACAGTAAATGGATATAGCATTTAAGATGAACATGAACTTCATGTTAGACATATATAAACTGAATGTAATATCCATGATCGTTAAACAGAACAATAAATCTTCTGCAATAAAACACCTTTTTTCGTAACAGCATGCATGATTTATTCATTATAGCCGTCCGTTCGTCTGTTCGTCTGCCACAAGTTTGGATTCTGGATGATAATTAAAGTATCGCTTGACCAAATCTTTTGAAAATAATGTCATCGACCATTAAATATAGGTCATGTTTGGTTTTGGTGATTTTGGCATTTACCGATCTAGATTTTTTACCCTTATAGTTACCTTTAACATTGTGTTCTCTTCCGCTTCCGGATATCGATGATAATTAAAATATTGCTAGACTAAATCATTCGAAACTTAAACACAATGTCATAGACCATACAATACAGGTCTAGATCGATTTTTGTGGTTTTAAAGTTATGCCTTAGTAGTTACTTTTAAGATTGGCATTGTACCACTTATCAATTAATTTGAAATCTGAACACAATGTCATATGGATCGTCAAATAAAGGCCATATTGCATGTTGATGGTCTGACATATATATCGATTAAGAGTAATGCCACTTAAAAAATTGACAATTTGGGTTGCCAATGATAATTAAAGTCCTTCTTGACCAAATCTTTAAACATTTGAACACAGTTTCGTGGATCACTCGATCACCAAATTCTAGTTTATCATATATATGCATACATTGGTTCAGTAATTTTGATAACAGTATAATTACCAGAAACTCGCTTCATATGACTTTGAATGGAATTAAGAGAGATCTTTACTAAGTTTGGCCTTAAAACTGGCTTAGTGATTCAAAATAACACACAACTTGGTGCCAATAGGAATGCCTACATCATACAATACTATAGTACTAAAAGACATGATCCCGGGTGCGGGATTTTAATTTTAGTTTCTTGTGTACAATTTGGAGTTTAGTATGGCGTTCATTATCACTGAACTAGTATATATATTTGTTTAGGGGCCAGCTGAAGGACGCCTCCGGGTGCGGGAATTTCTCGCTGCATTGAAGACCTGTTGGTGACCTTCTCCTGTTGTCTGTTCTATGGTCGGGTTGTTGTCTCTTTGACACATTCCCCATTTCCATTCTCAATTTTATTTATGATTGGTTTCCATATCAGCACAACCAATTTATACTTATAGCATTCTGGACAATCATTGCGAGTTTTCTTCCAAACGATCTTATTAAACTTTGTGTTACTCATACCAGTTTGTTTTCCGTCTGGAATGCTGCTATTAAAAAGCCTCCCCTGAGCTGATTTTCACCGCCAGTTCTTCTATGTACCATTTGGTTTTTCCGCTGATCGACATTATACCTGTTTGGGTTGCTAACCTAATTTTGTCAATATAACGGAAATATAAACAACCGTCATACAAAAGGAAGTTTTAGCTAGCAATAAAACCAGGTTTAACCCACCATTTTCTTCGGGAAATGCCTTACAACGTCAGGAATATGGCAATTTATTTTCACTTGTTCCTTTGATTTATAGCGTTTGATTTTGTCAGTTTTTATGGACTTCCCCTTTTTTTAATTTGTCTTAGAGTTCAGTGATTTTGTTATACTTTTTTTATAAAGGGGAAGGATTGAGATATAAAAAAAATACCCTGCCATGTTAAATTGTCTGACGTAATTTAAAAACTTCGTCTGAGATTGTTTGCCTTTTTATTTTGTTACTTTTTTGTTTTCTTTAATACATCAGTTGTTGTTGTCAAATCTTTAGTAATCTATTAATCAAATTAAACGGTGCAAATAAACTCATCATATATTAATTATACTGTACCAGATGGCTATTTCGACAATACATGTCTCTTCAGTGATGCTTGAGGTCAAAATATTTGAAAACCAAAACATATAGAAACGTTGAGGGGTTGATATAATCGAATTGCCTAATCCGTGCACGGAATCAGAGCTATGGCCGACGGATATGCCTTCCCAGAGACCTATATATACACACATATATATATATATATGTATATATGTCTCTGGCCTTCCTTAATTTCTATATTTTCTTAAGTTTTACAACAGCTTATTCAGATAAAACAATATCCGTATTTTTATGCCAGCACCAAGACTATATCCTGTTACAAACTTATTCGGGGCGATTAAGTTAGCACTCCAAAGTTAGGAAATAAAATCAAAACTGACCCACAAAATGTTTAATCATCTTCTATTCCTGGCTTTCTAATACATTAAGCCAACTGTTTGTGTCATACATATGCATATGTATTTAATCAGTATCTTCCATAGATTTGATTTTCAACAGTTAAAATGGTGAAATATAATATATGTATCCAAGGCAACATTCCGCATTTATTTATCATAAAATATTGCAAAAAGGGGCACAAAATGTCATAAATTCCCCAAAATTTGGTTAAAACTAGAATTTCAATCACTTAAAGTGATAAATTTTCTGAAATTATTGACATTAATCTATCAAATGATTAAATAACTAGAGGCTCTAAAGAGCCTGTGTCGCTCACTTTGGTCTATGTGCATATTAAACAATGGACACAGATGGATTCATGACAATATTGTGTTTTGGTGATGGTGATGTGTTTGTAGATCTTACTTTACTGAACATTCTTGCTCCTTACTATTATCTCTATCTATAATGAACTTGGCCCAGTAGTTACAGTGGAAAATATTTTGTAAAAATTTACAAAAATTTACAAAATTTATGAAAATTGTAAAAAATTGACTATAAAGGGCAATAACTCCTTAAGGGGTCAATTGACAATTTTGGTCATATTGACTTATTTGTAGATCTAACTTTGCTGTACATTATTGCTGTTTACAGTTTATCTCTATCTATAATAATATTCAAGATAATAACCAAAAGCTGCAAAATTTTCTTAAAATTACCAATTCAGGGGCAGCAACCCAACAACATGTTGCCTGATTGGTCTGAAAATTTCAGGGCAGATAGATCTTGACCTAATGAACAATTTTATACCATCAGATTTGCTCTAAATGCTTTGGTTTTAGAGATATGAGCCAAAAACTGCATTTTACCCTATGTATTATTTTTTTGCCATGTCGGCCATCTTGGTTTGCGGGCAGGGTCATCGGACACATTTTTTAAACTAGATACCCTAATGATGATTGTGGACAATTTTGGTTAAATTTGTCTTAGTAGTTTCAGAGGAGAAGATTTTTGTAAAAGATTACAAAAATTTACGAAAAATGGTTAAAAATTGACTATAAAGGGCAATAACTCCTTAAGAGGTCAACTGACCATTTTGGTCAAGTTGACTTATTTGTAGATCATACTTTGCTGAACATTATTGCTGTTTACAGTTTATCTCTATCTATAATAATATTCAAGATAATAACCAAAAACGGCAAAATTTCCTTAAAATTACCAATTCAGGGGCAGCAACCCAACAACGGGTTGTCCGATTCATCTGAAAATTTCAGGGCAGATAGATCTTGACCTGATAAACAATTTTACCCCATGTCAGATTTGCTCTTAATGCTTTGGTTTCAGAGATATAAGCCAAAATCTACATTTTACCCCTATGTTCTATTTTTAGCCATGGCGGCCATCTTGGTTGGTTGGCGGGGTCATCGGACACATTTTTTAAACTAGATACCCCAATGATGATTGTGGCCAAGTTTGGTCAAATTTGGCTCAGTAGTTTCAGAGGAGAAGATTTTTGTAAAAGTTTACGGACGACGGACGACGGACGACGGACGCAAAGTGATGAGAAAAGCTCACTTGACCTTTCAGGTCAGGTGAGCTAAAAATTGGGCATCTTTATATATCTTTATTTCTCAACAAACAAAATTACATTGGTATAGAGATACACACAATAAATATTACATTATGTATATGTTACGAAAGCAAGGCAAAGGCAAATATCACAAATTACAGTATACAGATTAAACTAAATGGTACCAAGTACATAAGTTACACAGGAGAGCCTACATGCATATTAAATAGTCTTATAAATTTACACAATTCACAAAGATTTTTGCTATTCATCAGTTTATTAAATTTTTATGAATTTGGTTCATTTGCATATTTTTTTCTCAATAACTGTTAACGGTCATCATTAAATACAGAACATGTAAAAAATATAATGAAATTCATCTCCGATGTCACCGGGGTAACAAAGTAAGCATTTCCTATTTTCTCTTGCAATATTTTGCCATCTACCACTCTCAATAGGAAATCTATGATTTCTTGTTCTCAACCTCATTTTTTCGTAAATTTAAGTCACAAAGTTCGTGCGACAACAAGGTGGAAAAACATTCCAATAATTTCTGTCAGAAAAAAAACCACAATACATACATTACACAATCTTGGTGTTCATATAAACCCATTTTGAAGGCCATGTTAATCATCTGCTATCCAAAAATTAATTTCATTGCACACTAGAATTCCAATTTTTCAAAATGCGAAAATACACATCTAACTGTGGAGTGCTACCTAAGAGATTGGCATACGCTTATGCTCTTTTCTATGTTTTAGGGGCCAGCTGAAGGACGCCTCCGGGTGCGGGAGTTTCTCGCTGCATTGAAGACCCATTGGTGGCCTTCGGCTGTTGTCTGCTCTATGGTCGGGTTGTTGTCTCTTTGACACATTCCCCATTTCCATTCTCAATTTTATTGAAATACGTACGTTGTTTTTTAGATAACTATCCATATTTAAAAAAAGGAGAAAAGATACAAAAAAGGAGCAATAAAAACTTTAAGTCAAAGAAAAACACACATTGCCCAAAGAAAAAATGTCAAAAGACAAAGAACTGTCTACAAAAAACTGCACAGAAAACTGACAATTGAGCAACACGAACGACATCTATTAATTCTTATATTTTGCTGAGCTATTTGCTATTATTTAGAGCTTGTTTTTCTCTCTACAATTATCAGTGCTGTTCCTGTTGCTCAATTTATTTTTTATGCTTTTAATTTGTGTATTTTGTCAATCATTATGCTTCTATGTGTGCTCATTTGTTTTTGCTTTTTATTATGCTACATGCTTTTATGGTTTTTGTTTGTACCCGTATATACGCAGATGTTTTAAATTATACGCTCGTGTTGCTTATTGATATGCATATATTTCCCGATTTTAATCAAAATTTACTTACTTTACTTACTTACAGACCTTAGTTTTTTCCATTGGTGCATCTCCAAAATTTGATATTATGTTTCTGATTTAACGAATGATGGATATAAATATTTGTTAAACATATGCTTTAACCAGATCAAAATGCGTCCACGAATTTTCATCAAACGACAATATATTTTAGTGACATGTATATTAACTGTTATCGATTTCGGAAAATATATATTATTCAAACCTGTAATGTATTTTTAATCATTTGTATTGTTTATTGGTTTATCACAAATCAGAGTTGATATTATTGTGTTGTGCGATTATATTGATAAAAAATCAATATCAACATAATATGGTTATATAAGAATTTCGATACTTTCACCTGCATGTTGGAACAGGTAAGACAATGAATAATATACTTGATCTTTACCTATACGGATTTGGTGGTTTTCATTTTCTAATCCACATTTAATCATATGTATGCCTATTTTAAAAGGTATTGTATTATATTACAATGAAATTACTATTTTTTATTTTTAAATTGTATAATGTATTTAAGTATGTTAATTTTTGTAATCCTCTTTTCCTAACGTTGTCAAGAAAATATTACCCTTTAAGGTACCTCTATTAATTTGGAATCCGTTTGATGGTAATACTGGATATATTGAATCAACAGGTGAAAACCAGAGATTTATGTCCACTTCGCTGTTAGCCACCAACCAGTCAGAACGTCACCAAAATGGTAGGTGTAAACTTTCAAATATTTTTTTTGAAGAAAGAACACATAATAATTTTTGTTAAATCAATTGTTTATGCATTTATTTTTCAATGTAATATTAATACTGATCGCATTTTCAAAACATATTTCAATTTTTTGTTGGTTAATAACAAACAAGTGTCTTAAACATAAAACTAAACTAAATTGTAAGTTTTGAGAGTTTTGAATATCATTAACATCATGTAAATAGGAGGTACATGTATGCAGCTTATTACTTTTCGTGTTTGAGTGTTATAGCAAATTTCCAAATTTTCCAAACTATTGAAATAGCCTATTTCTCTGTATTCGTTAGTGTCATGATACCACCAATACTGACAGCATTGAGTTGGCAAGATTTTCATTGACATGTTAATCACAAGATTATACGTATCTATTTCTTTTAATCAAAATGTCAAAATAAATTATAGCCAACTCATCTTTCAAACCTATGGCTCTGACCGTTATAAAATCAATACTAAAAAGTGTTTCGAAGGCACTTCATTTGAAAGTGTAATTAACAATTATTCTGTCCTAACTCGTAAACTTTTTTTTTCTTTTTGAATATATTTATACAATGTTAGAATCAAAGATTTCTTCCAATTTGAGTAATCTTTAAACCCTTGCACCACTCTACCGACCATTCTATTTTAACTTTAAAACTTTAAGACTTGAATGAACATTTGTTTTAATTAACATGATTTCAAAACCAATGATAACGAAAACAGAAGCTTTATATGCACAATTTAAAGGTTGTCTATAGTGTTGATGTTTAAGAAGTTAGACTAGACGACAGCGGCCTATACTGTCATGGTTACCAAATAAAAATACTAGTACAAAATAAATATTTATTATTCAGTCATAATTCTTTCTTAGTGGGGAACAGAATTTGATAATAAAAGTTGTCATGAGAAATCATAAAATGTCTATAAAATTATGTAACCTTCTGAAAATCAAGGCGACATTAAAATAACAAATATTAATCAAAAACATGTTAATGTAATGTAATATGTATACAAAGTCTATATTAGTTAAAAATCAGTTCTTTCGTTCGATAAATTTACGATGATCAAAACAGAATATGATATAATAATATAGGGTTGATCAAGGGTTATATTTAAAAGGAACAACTAGTATGATTTAACAATTTTATCATATGAACGAACAGAAATCAATTTAACAGCAACATAACAACAAAAATCAATCAACTAGATATTTAAACGCCAAAGGCATGAACAGACAAGACTAAGAGTGATGAGACCACTGGCTTGGTACGGCCACTTAAACATGTGGAGGGGTTAAGTTAAGTCAGTAATAAAGATTTCCACTATTATTTTCATACAATAAAAAATACAGATAATTGAATAATGATAATAATACTTACTAATAATGCAATCATTGACACGATCTGTATTTAATTATATTGGTTTTACAGAACAAAACACAACATTCATGTTATACCATATATAACAGAATCTCAGAGTGCTCCCAGACGCTAAAGGCAAGTGCTTAGTGATTAAAAGTCATGTCTTCTCCAGCTTTTCTTTTCAGTGATAAACACATGAATATCACCCAATATTGTGTACTTTTAGAGCGGATGAACAGAATAGTTAATTTATTCATGGGCTATTTTATATCATATTCTTTGATTTTAGGCAGATCAACTTACAGAAGAACAAATTGCTGGTATGTATGAGAACATAAAAATAATTAAATTATAAAACATATATCAAAGACAGAATTTCATGTCTTTGCTTTTTTATTCAAAACTAATTCATTAAAATCATAAAATATATATATATATATATATATATATTGTATACCCCCCCCCCCTTTCCCCCCACAAAAAGGTTTTGTGAAACAAAAATATATTACAGTCAGTGGTAAAAATGTTTCACCATTTGGACATTGTGCTATATATTTCATATAAAAACACATTTTTAAGAATAATTTTATGATTAAAGTTATAGTTGTATTTCCAAATTGCATGACATTTTTGCTATTCAATACAGAAATGTCTGTAGTTTCTTGTAACGAATATGGATCACGTTTATAATTTATGCTTATAAGAAAATGAAAAGTCAGATATGAAATTCTGAACGAAAAATGCTTATGGATAACAAGAAAAAAAAAAACACTTTAGCTCATTATCGTATAGAAATAATGATTTCTCAGTAATCACAGGTCATCAAAATATTTCATAATAACCATAAAAAACTGTACACATCTAGAGTTTAGCAGGAAAATGTTACCAAATCGGACCTTAAATAAGTTTTTGACAACGTTCAAACATATAGCGACAGTTCCTAGTGGTTAAACAATTTTGTATGTAGAGAAACTAAATTCACATTGTGCAGCCGAGACATAATTTATAGTTTTATTGATGGATAAAGTTTACGATCAAGATTGGTATAGTTGTGTCTGAAGTATATAATGACAATAATATTTACAGGTTTGAAAATATAAGTTCATCAGCATGTTGTAAATAAGAAATTTACATAATTGATAGAAAAATTCAACAGGGAGACAATAAAATTAGATGCCTTTATAAGTAAAGTTTATATCAGCTTTATATATAATCACTTATGATTGAAATCAGAATTCTCGCTGAAGAACTCTTACTCTTTTGAAGTAAAATGTTTTGTTCCAAAGAGAAATGTACTACTGCAAATAGATCGTTAGATACAATTAAAGATACTTCCCAAAGGTTTAAATGGTGTTTTCTTTAGAAAACAACTACAAATTTCATGTTTTTATTTTCATTTTATAGAGTTCAAAGAAGCTTTCAGTCTGTTTGACAAAGATGGCGACGGTACCATTACCACAAAAGAACTGGGAACTGTCATGAGATCCCTCGGACAAAATCCAACAGAGGCAGAGTTATCGGACATGATCAACGAAGTCGATGCAGATGGTAGAGTATATTTTGTATATTAAACCAACAGAATTAATCTAGTCGTAGATTTATAATTTTTTGGACCGGGGGATAAAACAAATTCAATTTGTGTACTCTATATTGATCTGATGAGTAAAGACCTTTTCAACTGATCTGTATAGTTTGCTCTTATATTATACCGTTACACCAATGTCCCAGGTTAGGGAAGGGTTTAGCGCCAGCAAACATGTTTAATCCCGCCACATTGTGTATGTGCCTGTCCCGAATCAGGAGCCTGTAATTCAGTGGTTGAAGTTAGTTGCTGCATATCATTTTGTTTTCCGTTTTTTTTTTTTGTACATATAGCAGCCGTTAGTTTTCTCGTTTGAACTGTTTTGCAGTTGTTATTCCGGGCCTTTTAGCTTACTATGCGGTATGGTTTTTGCCCATTGTTGAAGGCTGTACGGTGACATATAATTGTTCTCTTCTACGTCATTTAAGCTCTGATTTAGAGTTGTACTCCCATCTTCTTATTTCTATATAGTATATCCAACATTAAAAAAACTGTTACTGGCTTTGGTTGTATAGCACGAAAAAAGTTTGGATAAGGTTGTCTACAAACCTAAAGCCAATTTTTCTACTTATTAAGGAAATGGAACAATAGATTTCCCAGAGTTCCTCACCATGATGGCAAAGAAAATGAAAGATTCAGACTCCGAGGAAGAATTAAGAGAAGCCTTTAAAGTGTTTGACAAGGACGGCAATGGGTTTATCAGTGCAGCCGAACTCAGACATGTGATGACAAACCTAGGTGAAAAACTGACCGATGAAGAGGTTGATGAAATGATTCGGGAGGCCGATTTGGACGGAGATGGTCAAGTCAACTATGAAGGTATGTTTTATTGACCACGTGCATTTGGTTTACATATTTACATTATTTATAAATCACACAATACGGAAATGCATATGTTTTTGTTTAATTCTGTAGAAGAATATATAATTATCAAAAAGGTCTTAAATGTACTAAAGAATTTTCACACGGTTCACTTGTAAATGAATTGCCGCATTTTTGTTGAATAATTTGTGTTTAGAAGTGAATGTAAATGCAAGATGCATTGAAATCACAATATGTATGGCTATTTGTTCTTTTTTTCAGAATTCGTCAGAATGATGACATCTAAGTAAAAGACATGCCAAAACACTACAGTCTTCCGGTGGAAAAACTGAAAGCTTTCGTACAGATTTTATTTTTAGACGATTTTCTACCATGAATAAAAGATATCATTTTCCACCATGAACAACAACTGAAAATTTGCCATCCATCTATGTACATTGTATTTATTTATTGTTAAATATTGTGTAATTATGATTTTGTTCTGTTATATTAAATATTTTTTTTTGTTAAGATCGTGAATCTGACATTATTCTACATATTATTGCCCTGTGACTTACATCACGTGTATAAATATATAGTATCAGCATGTTTAGTACTTTGAGACGTCTAGAGGTCGGTCAACTTAATATATAAGTGCCAATACGAGATGTAATGTTGTCATTCGTCGCCGAGTGTAGAAAAATTGAGGTGAAACAGGGACTATAAAAAAATTGCCATCATCTCCAAATTCCCTAAATGAAAATAAACATAAAGATATAACGAAAGGAAACAATTTTTTATGAGGTTTCTCACTTGGGACAGACAAATGAGCATGGCTTATCTGAATTTGTTTTTTTTAAGATTCTTTACTCCTGGTTGGATAAAGATAGATTGAACGTACTACTGTACTAGTAGGGATAATGTTACACTTTCAGGACGGTGTTTGGTGATCCCTGACGTAAAATCAGTATTATTCAGGTTGATTATATATTTTGCATAAATTTCGTGATTGGGCATATATAATGTAGACATGCTGTTGTATTCTTATTTCTCTTGGGAGTACACTTCAAAAACTTTGTAAGAGGACATGATCGAGCCTGTAGTACAGTGGTTGTCGTTGGTTGGTGACTGCCATACTAATTTTTCGTTTATCGTGGTCGTGTAAATTAGGTTTGTTGGTCTGATTTTAGGAATCGTTTTGAATTTTGTCATCCCTGGGTCTTTTATAGCTTATTATACGATATGTGCTTTTCAAGTTACATATTGTTAAAGGTGTAATTATTCACATCTGTTGTTTTTTCTTTTGTTTTTTATTGAATGATTGTCTCATTGACAAGCATACTGTATTTTCCTTATTTGTTTATATGGTAGTTTAAGTCATTAGATCCGATCTTGATATCAGTTCCAAGTAATTTGCCCCTGTCTAGTCTCAAAAGTAAAATCTTAAATTTTCAAAAGTAAAAAGCCAAAAGATTGTTAGATATTCACCAGGAAAGCTCAAAACCAAATATGTGAAAGCCAAAGATTTAAGAGCTTTATGACCAAAAGATTGTTAGATAATTCTAACAATCTTTTGGTCATATAGCTCTTAGGTCTTTGGCTTTCACATATTTGGTTTTGAGCTTTCCTGATGAAGGTTCATATAATTTCGTGATTGTTTATGATAATTCTCTAATGGATATAAGTAATTCCCTATTGGAGGATTCAGAAGTAGCATTGGCTTTTTACTGTTGAAAATTTAAGATTTTACTTTTGAGACTAGACAGGGGAAAACTACTATTCATGCATAAAATATAAAGAAATAAATTTGGAAAGTGTATGAAAAAAATTGCATGTTATACACTATCCACACTAGGGACTATATTTGTAGACAACGAAAATCAAAGGACGATAACTGTGTCCTCGGACCAACAGTCCACCAGCAATGGTATCGACTTAGTACTAGTATATAATAAATAACGCTTTATCAATTTCGTGCGTCCGAAGCACCTGTCTGGATTTACCTTCTTCAAGAACGCTCAAACCAAAGCATTTGAAGGCCCCGGATGTATAAGACATAAACCTGTAAAGAGCTATATGACCACAAGATTGCCAAAAAAAAAAAACCGTACGGAAGCACTGACTATTGAAGTACAGAAACAGTATTAGATTAGAAAACGACGTGATTTCACAAGCATGAATAAACAAAACTGCAAACAAACAAACAGTTTTTATGCGGCAATAAAGTACATGTACATTTGTGTAAGCCTACAATTAATCAGACTCAAAGAACTTAATCTGCTTCTATGAAACCACGTCGTTCTACACTCTAATAGCGGTCTGTGAACTTGACAGAAGATTCGATACAGCAATAACATAAACAGTATAGGAAGACTTGACATGGCACAATGCCTTAAAAACAAATACAAAACTGCAATGCCGAAAAAGAAAGGAACATTTTAGGATTTCTTCAAACACAAATAGCAAATTGATGCATACAACATTTACGTTGGTGGTTTGTACGCGTTTGTTTGCGCTTTGCAGTTGTTCCAATCCTTAAATCTTTGATACTGTCTTTTGCTTCAGTAATATTTCTTGTATATTTGACCACATTATTACATTTGTTAAACAAGCCACTGCAGATAGAGCTCCACTTCTCTAAATATCTTAAACTGGAGCGATTTTTAAAAAAACAAGGCTGAAACGTCTTAACGTATTGTACAACACTGACCGTTACTCGCGTATTAATGTACAACGATACAATATCGACTTTATACCAACGCTTTTCGAAAATCATCGAAATACATAAGAAATGTCACAAAGTTTAATTAGACTACTTATATATGACACATCATGAGTGCTTTATGAAGTAGAAATAAGATATTAGGTAGCAGCTTCTACAAAGAGACGTTATACACTGCTAATTGATTTTGTATTTGTCTGGTTTTTTTTACAGTTGTCTACCCTGATTTCAAGTTTCTAACACTGAGTGTTGGTTCAGTTTGTCTTTCAGATATATTTGTCTTTGATCATATTTTTTTCCTTCTGTTAAATCCAGCGGCTACATATAGAGCTCTACGTTTGTACTTTTCGAGTTAAAGAAAAATATAACATATTTCATAATACCTAAAAAATTATAACGAAAAGAAAGAATATGTAAAAGAAAAAATTAATACCAAGGCAAAATATAAAAAAGTAAGCTATACGACAGCCAACTGACCTTATATATACTAGAGTTATAGTTATTGCAAAATGGTATATGTGTGAGCCTTTAGTTTATGGACCAAAGTTGTACTAATTTCCTGTCTTTACGTTTAGAATGAGAAATACATGTGGGAAGAAGAGAAATCAAATATTAGAATGTTTTTGCTTTCACACATTTGAATTCTTTAATATCCACATCCGACTCAAAATCAGGGGCGGTAATAATTTTATCAAGTTATCTGCGGTCCGTATAGGGTAAAAACAGAAAACTTGCTAAATTCAACCGAGCAGACCAAGACAACTTTTTTCTTTTAGACGATTTGGTGCTAAAAAATATATTTTCCAATCAAAGTGGGCGTGCGCCCTCTTTGCACCCTGAATCTGCCACTGTTAGAGCCCTACATTAGGTATATAGTTACTGTACTAAATTTGGAACGATGTTTTGGTAAACTCAGAATCTTGACATGCTTTGTAAGGACATGTAATTTGGTTACCAAGAGTGAAATCTAGAAGTTAGTAATTGTGGTTGAAATTTAAATCATTGTTCGAAATTTTCTTAGTGAGTGTTCTTTGAGTATAATTAGGTTACTAAAAGGTTTCCAAGTGAAAGCTCAACCTTATGCCCGTATCAAACGGTTTATATAATGTGATTTAAAGAGAAAAAATATATTGTTTGGGGCTTTGTCATTTTAGACATCAGCATCATTATCATGAAGGAATATAGGTGTTTTCGTAAAAACTATTAAGGAACTGAATGTTCACACGAGATTTATGAAGATAATGTTTGCCTAATAATATAACAAGTAGAAAAAAAGGAAATAGAAATCAAAGGACATATGTAAATCTCAAGCAACAAGACATGTAATGGACGAACAAATAACGAAAGGCGTAAATAGACAACAAAACATCCAACTAATGTTTGTGCAATAGTCATGATAATAGTTAAGTAACGATTGATAATGGTTTGCTTAATATCCAATGAACAATCATGTAGTAAAGATATTTTGTAAAATTTTACCACGAAAACTGCTTAAACAAGGATATGCACAAGCGAACTGTATTCGAAAGATTAGGACTGTCATACTTAATCAATCTTATAGTCTCTGAGATGTGCCGGTTAACCGTCTCATAATATGTCTTGACCAAGGTTGTCATATAGCTCTGATCAATATGTATATCGACAAATGATGGATCATAATACATGTCTGGTTTTTGGTAGGTCGTATTGATTTGTCTGTTATATTTCCATGTATGTGCCTTTTGCTAGACAACTGATTGTGATTAACTGGAGGATTCAGGTAGCCTGTATCGTTTAGCCGGTAATCTTTTAATCAGAACATAAGAATGCCTTTAGGAGCCATTACTTTAGTTACAATTTTCAGAAAAGACGTTGAAAATATGACTTTCCATAGAGTTTAATGGGATCTATTTGCCCCCGATCAACATTAAACCAGGATCGTTTGTATATCACCGACCTGTTAAGGTTCAAAACATGTCGCTTATATTTTGAGGAGACATTTTTTTAAATTGGCCAATCAGACTGAAATATTGTTTCAGGAGTGCGTTTTCCGTCCGATTAGAATGAAATGAAGAAATTTTGTAAAGACCCTACGTATTTAAATTATGTTTGTCAAGTTTAATTAAACTTATGTAGTGAAAAAGAAATTAAAGAAAATAATATTTCTCTCAGGGTTTCGATATAAAAACAAGAAGATGTGGTATGATTGCCAATGAGACTCAGAGACCAAATGACAAAGAAGTTTACAACTATAGGCCACAGTACGGTCTTCAACAATGAGCAAAACCCATACCGCATAGTAAGCTATAATAAAAGACCCCGAAATGACAAATATAAAAAAAATCAAATGAGAAAACTAACAGTCCACTCACATTCCACAGATCAGTACATAAAAATTCAAGAATACGCAACACGAGCCTCACTAAAAACCGGGTTAATCCCAGGTGCTCCACATGTAGCACTCAGTTGTTTTGTTGCTCGTGGTGGAAAGTACAAATTCGGTGACAAGCCTTATTCGGTGATTTAACAATCGAAGAAATGATGTCTGGACTGTGGTTACAGCAATTGGAACATATCCATGGTGACAAAGATATGTCACAACCGTCAACCAACTCGTGATGCCGTCCGTAAAACTTTCTATACAGATAAACTTTTACATTTCAGCTTGCGTAATTGTATTTTTAATTGTACTTGGCTTGTATATTCAAGCAGCTTACAATTAGAGACTATATTGAATTATTTGTGCTGTAAATGTTTTTACGATGTTTATTTTATTTGACTATAGATTGGTATTGGGAAAACACAATTATTCACTTAACAAAGCACAAAGATACCGGACAGTGGAATTAATTATTACATTAAAAACTCCAGTCATTTACCATTTAAAGACATAACCTTGATCTCTTAAAACATTAAAATATTTAAACAAAGGTAAAACGTCATTGTGCTTCTGTGATCTAGAATAATACAATTCATACTTAGCTTTAAATGCCATCACAGCTGAATAAAAAAAAATCAGTATATGAATGTATGAAATCGGATCTGTGAAGTATTGTTCCTATCTTAATCTTTTAATTATACCCAAAACAGCTAAATATTTTAATTTTAGCTTTATTTCAACACCGATTACGAATTGCTACGCACACCGCATTCAAGTAACATATTGTAACAGTTTTGAATTAGTCTATATATTTTTTTTCGACTGGAGATGGCGCTCTGTTAGCACATCCGGGTTTAGAACGAAAGTAAACGTAACATCCTGAAAATGGTAAGCGCACTTTTCTAATTTACTGAATACTTTTTTTTCAGATTTAAGAACAATTCTCTTGATATGCGTGTTTTGACTTTGATAAATAGTTTTGTTTTCAATTTATACACGACTTTAACTCCATAAATATATTTATTAAGTGTATATAGTTTCAAGTGGTAGATTGATTTTTATTGTATTGTTATATACGATCTCTTTGAAATTCAATAAAACTCAATTGATCACACATTTTCCATTATTGTTAAATGTTCATATACAAAGTTTGTTAACAATGTTGTACAAAGTATAACGTAAGTTTTATATTTGATTGCGACTTTTTGTTGAGGATTAACCTACTAATTGAATTCTATTTAATAAAATATTCAATGAATTTAATGTTTTGGCACTTCATTTTATTTGATATGTGACATTGATTTGTATTACTAATAAATACGTAGTCTTGTTAAATGTCATAAGCGTTATTGTATTAATAACTATGTATATAGTGTATACTGTTCGACTGAAAACATTAATCTGCCGTGGATAAATTCTAACACACATCTCATTTATTTAGTAACGTACTTGTTCAGATGGATTTAGAATAGTATATATTATAAAAAATAATTTAAAACTGATAAGTTCTTGATTAAATCTGAAGTCTCAGTGTGCGTTAAGGGACATAAGCTGTCAAACCCATTACCTCCGATTTAACTCAAACTCCTTATTTTGATTTAAGATATACAGCAATAATCACCAGATTACAAAAGTTCAATAGGAAACAAAAAACATTGCATGAAATCGTAATAAAGAATCAGCATTTCGTTCGTATTTAAGGACTAGACGCCGTCTAGTTAACCATCGAGATGACCTCCGAAGACTGCCGATGGTCAAGTGATCCAATATATATATAAATAGACAGACACACACGTACAATGGTAAGATGACGAGTGTTCTATGTCTGCTTGATTTCGTGTAAATGTAAATCATCATTTAACCTGTATGCGAATGATTTTGTTTTGGGGGTTGACTCTTTTGTTTCACTATTAATTAACGACAATTTATTCTTTTTAATTACTGAACATGCTGAGCAAATGCTCAACCAATCCCCAAGTAAGGGTCAAATTAATGGTTGCATGCATACAGACCTAAAATGAGGTCGCATTATTGTCTTTCAAATCAATAATATATCAACGATGGTTTGGTCTTATTTTTACAAAATTGAATTTAACTGGCTGCTAATAACGAATTAGTATTTCAATATTCTGCGTGGAGAAAAAAACATACTGTAATTTGATGTCTAAATCGAAGTTAATGCTCCTTAAAGGTGGAACATAAACATATTTTTATATTCAAAACATTCGTCGGATTTTTTTGCAAACAATAACGACGGGATTACATTTGATAACGGTTTCTTTATTATCCGTTGATAAATTTAAAAACTTTTAAGAAAGTAAGGTTTCAACTCCTTCAGGCAAAGTCGACATATGGATTTGGCTATGTTTATATCACTTTTGGCCCCAAAGTTCCTGAAAAGCGTTACTGGCGCAACAAATCTATAAAATGTTATTTTCATTCACAGGTTATGTTCTTCATCTATTGCTTTTGTCTGAATTATATTTTCTTTGAATGTTTCAACAGAAAAAAAGACAAAGTATCCAGAATGATTGTCATGCAAGCCACAGGTTTGGCCTAACAAACTGATTTAAAATAATTCAAGTTTTTTATATCAATGCCTACACTGGGTTTGGAATCACTACCATAATGTTATATCATGGCCTGTCAATCTGGTGACTTCTTCTGCAGCAGCTAATGCATTTGACTTTCTATATTTTGTCATTCTTACCCTACCCTACTTTTACAACCTTTGTTGCAATAATTCTATATGGTTTGTATAATCTGTTTTGTGTTATATTGGTAATTGGTGCACATTTATTGGCGAGGCTATTTTGTTTATACACTGTATGTTTTAAATTTTTCTATTCTCAAGAATGTGGTTGATGGATCTCCGTGATCTACTCTGTATTGGTTCGGATTTAAACACGTGCTTTTGTAGCTACATTTAATGGCTGCTAACAATTAAATTAAACATTGATATGATCAGTACTTTTTCATTGTTTTCTGTTTGTACTTGAAAGTTTTTAACAATTCCTCTTCTGAAGATGTCATATGCTGTATCAATTTCCTTGAATTTTAAGATAAATGCTGTAGATTGTTTGTCTGAAAGATTGCATAGTTAGAAGAGTACAAACGTTACTGCACTGGATAAAATTTGAAAGATATTTTATTTACTACATTGTATTAAATTTGACAAATGCTTTCTCAAATAAAATTTAAAAAAAACAGTTGTTAAAATTTCTAATTATGGCTTATGCATCTATAATGTATTCCATATTGCATATTATGCATTTGTTCTATTGTAGACATCGACCTACGGTCTTACGCCTGTACAAGTAGAAGGTAAGTATGATGTTATAATTACACATAGACGAGCAGACTAATTGTATTGAAACAACGTGTTGACTTTAGAATTACTGCATTTCATTTATTCTATGCAAATGTTGACAAGAATACTAGAAAGTAAACAGTGCAAACGTGAGAACGTATTGACACACTGAATAAATTTTATGAAGTTCAACGTACAATCTCTTGAACTGGGGTTGGTTGTTGTTTGTCAAAAGCGCATACGTTATATAATCCTTTTGTCTACTTATTCTTTTGGAGGAGGGATGGTCTACCGTATTTGGATGAAATATGATTCAATCTAAGATGATATATCAATGCCACTACTTTTGTATGACTATAACTAAAACACCTCTCAGTGGCGGATTGAGTTTTCTCATTACAGGCAACAAGAGGGGCGTCGACAATTTCAGGAATGTTTGTTTTGTAGCAATGGCGGATCTAAAAAAAACCTGAAAAATAGCATCTTAAGGAATATGCACCTTCTCACGTATATGTTATTTTTTTTTATATAATTTTAAAGAATGTTGTAAATATGCTTTCGATTTAAAGTTATAATTCGCAAGTTCCGTATAGTATTTTGTAAACAAGTAAATAGAGGTGTAATCCTAGGCCCCATTCTGTTTGTAAGTCGCGCAAAGTATTTCAAAATTAGATAGTCAGACCACACAGCCCCATTTGGAATGATTAATGATGTTATGAGAAAACAAATAAACCCACATATAATGACTCATTAAAAAGAGAAGATGACTTATTTTTAAATACATATTGTGGATTATATTTACCAGAACTTTTTTTTATCAAACTTTTGAATTTTTTACCCAAACTTGTGTAATTATGTTGATTTTAATCATTTCATGAATTGAATAACCGTAAGGGATAAAACTGGGAAATTTAATTATGTTCCCCGAGAAAAATGTCCGGCGGCATATTGTTTTACCCCTGTCCGTCCGTCTCACATAGGGTATGTTGTTTGTACGATTTCTCCTGTTTTCAATCTACTAGTATTAATTTTATATTATTTAGAGAGTTAACACAAAGGTGTGCACTTTGTCAGGATTTTGATGTTGTTGAAACTTTCCTCAAATGACGTCAATTTTGGTATATTAGGCATACGGGGTACTGCATGGTTTGACCGGCTAACGTCGCTTACAGTGCTAAAGCCAAAACTTTTTTATTATGTAGAGTGTTTGTACATATATCGGGAGTGTTTGTACATATAACGGTGTGCATTTTGTCAGGATTTTGATTTTCCTTAAATTTCAACAAATTTGAAATATTAAGCATACGGTACATGGTTTGTCCAGCTTACTCCTCTTATAGTTTTCAAACTAAAATATTTCTATCGTATAGGATGGTAGGTGTGAATATTAACAAGATTTAGAATGTTCATCAAATGTTTAGAAATGACAGAAGGTTATACTTGGACATTTTTAGTGAAATTATACATTGCTGATCATTTTGTTTGACGGGGGCATCAACTACGTTTTTTTAATACAATCAAAGCAAATTGTACTTCAACATCACTGTTTAATAAATCCAATGTTTGTGGCACGACTTTTTTGCATGTAGTTTTGTCTAGTTTATCAAGTAGAACACAGAGGCAATTAGAATGCTGACATCAGGCTTATTTTGTAGTCTTACACGATTGCTAACCAAAGAATCGAACTTTTATAGAAGTATAGATATTATCCAAACAAAGTACTCGAGAGTCTTCTTTTAGCAGACAAGTTCTGCATATAAAAATCATTGTAACCCTAACATATAAATCTCTACAGCAAGCAGGAACGAGCACATTCAAATAAAGAATTATTGAAAAATGAAAAAACAGCACAACTTCCGATCATCAAAATATTTTAGCAAACAATAAGATGATTGAATCAAACTACAACAAAGCATTTTCGTGGTCGGATTTGTCACTGTTTATTATGTTTTCCAAAATCTTTGCCGTTTTCAACAACAGTTGTGTATTTTCCATGAGTTTTACCTCTACACAAATATTAAATTACTCTTTGGAAAATAGACAATATGAAATTTTAAAACCCAAGCATATACTTTTCGTCAAATAATCGTTTTAAGGCTATCGAAACTACCAGCTACCTCTACGCCCTTTATTAATTATCCTTTCAGTTGTTTTTGAATTCTAAAATAACTGTCTTTTACAGAGTTTCGACAGGCTTTTAGGTTATTCGATAAAGACGGCGACGGCACAGTGTCAACCAATGAACTTGGAGTAGTGATGAGGTCATTAGGTCAAAATCCAACCGACGAAGAGTTACATGCTATGATCAATGAAGTTGATGAGGATGGTATGTATATTATACCTGGAATAAATGACATAAGGATCATTCAGTATCATTATAATCTATTGATATAAACATAAGGAGATGTGGTATGATTGCCAATGAGATAACTATTCATCAGAGACAAATTACGAAGGTGTGAACTATAAGACACGGTTTTGCCTTCAACATCAGAAAAACCCATATCATATAGTTAGCTATAAAAGACTCCGTTATGAAAAAATATGAAACAATTCTAAAGAGATAACCAACGGCCTTGTTTATGTCGATTTAGTATAAAACTGTGTTCATATGCATATATATTATGTTTACTTATTTATTAATTAATATTTTCCTGTGAACATACGGGTCCATAACAAGGCTACTCCCGGGGTATATATAATTGAACTAATTTCCGACAGAGGAGAACAATCCCCTCACTGTAAGGGGCATCCGTTTGACTGTGCAGGATGTATTAATATGCAGGCACGTCCGTTCAAAATAGGGACTTCAAACACGTTGACTTGTGTTTTAAATGTGTTCTACTGCGTTTTGCACGTTCAAAAACTCGTGCAACAACACTGATTGATCCTTAGTAGGCTATTGTAAGGCAAAATGTCTGCCCTATTACAAAAATAGTTACACTCTTTTGCCAGTGACAGTCAACTCTAAGGGCGTGTTGGGAATAGAAATATGGTCATCTTGGTGTCGTTTCGATCAGAAGGAAAACCCTTGCTTAAAATGCAGGTCTGTTTGGTTGTGCGTTACACGTCCGGTAAGAATAAGGATGTTAAATCTGATGGGTCGTATAAAGAGTTGCATCAGTGTCTGCACGTTAAAAAATCCAACTCTTTGAAGGGTCCGTAGGTGCCTCACAGAAGCTACCTATTGTATTATTGCTGATAGTTTCTCGTTCTGAATATGCATACTACTGTACATTTCCTGAAAGGCAAAAATTAATCCAGTGGCAGTCCAAATTTTCTCTCCTGCCACACCGCTCAGCTCGCATATTATTACTTTGTTCTGGATATGCATAAAATATTTATACCATTGGACCTTAAGCAAGCAACAATCGATCGATTCATCAGGAAAACTTGTCACATTTGCCGCTCGACGTTAAAATTCTAGTTGACTATTAATTATACTATCCAAAACCAAACTTTACTGCTGGTTATGTAACATACTTTATATCGGTTTACAGTCATTGCAACACTAAATATATAACGAAATTGAACTTAGCTTGGCTATTTGCGAGATATACATTACATTGCATTCAAACTGGTCACGATGGCGACTATAACACTTTTGCTGCGGATAAATCCCATTATACCGTCAGGACACTTTGATTCATTAGATTTATTGGTAGAGCTAACCCTCATCACAGAGTCCTGATAGGAAACATAAGATCTGGAACATCGTATTAAACGACAAAGATACTCACTTTATAAGCAGGTACTTGAAGTATTGTTAAATTCATTAAACAATTGAAAAGAAATTAAAAACCGCATTGAAGAAGTGCAGTGTTTTGATATGTCGTTCGCATTTATTTGGGAAATGTCGAGTCGAACTTCCTGAAGGGTAAACACTTTTCAATTACCTAGTTTTTTTTTAATATTTATTATGTGAAACTGATTCTGTCACTTTAACCCTCATATTATCATAATTATTTACTCTTGAAATCAAAATTTTCAACTTTCAAAAAGCTCTATAAACATTTTTTACTTAAGCAAACACGTTCCTTTATCCCTATATATTGTATTTGTAATGAACTAAGTGAGAATCAATGTTTGGTTGAACTCCAAGTCCTGTTGACCTTTTCCCTTTGCTTTCTAAAACATGTGAGCGACGTGAAATATTTTCCAAACAACGAAAAATAATACCATACATTTTAGAGCTTCCAAACGATTTAAAATAATGCCTATAATTTAAATTTATCTAAATCAATTTGTCTTTACAGGAAATGGGGAAATAGACTTTGACGAATTTTTGTCGATGATTGCTAAAAAGATGGGGGATATTGATTCAGAGGACGATTTAATTCAAGCTTTTCGGATTTTTGACACAAATCGAACCGGGTACATTACATCACAGGAGTTCAGGGAAGTCATGATGAATCTTGGAGAACGGCTGTCATATGATGAGGTCACAGAAATGATAATAGCAGCAGACAAACATTCCACGGGAAAAATCAATTATGCAGGTACAAACAGTGGGAAAACATTATCATTTTTCGGATAATATTTGATAATTAAAAATCAATTGTACGATTTCAGTTTCAGTAACCTTGCATCTGAAGGTAATGAGTTATACATAAGGTATGGGGTTAATCGTGAATGCAAGAGTCAGAAGAATATTAAACGTTGCGATTAAAATATTTCTGAAACAAAATGTACATTAAAATAAAAAAAAAATAGAATGACAAACAGTGCATACGCTACTAATTTACCATTTGTTTCTTCTTTTCAGAGTTTTGCGCATTGTTAACAAAGTAAATGAGATGCTCTATCCTCAAAGAAGCATCTTACGAAACTGACGTGTTACAAGAGAAATATGGAACCTGCTTACAAAGAGCAAAGTTGGTAGAATGAAAATGTAATGATGGACAGTAGATGTAAATACTTTCACAAACATAACATGAGTAGAAATATTTATGTAGATGAAATGTTAATTTGTGGTTTACGGTTTACAATATTCAAATGTACATATAATTTCAAACATTACACATGCCATTCAACGTCATTTTTTTTCTTTTGAAAATACATGTAATGCATTCAATTTAATCAAGATGCATTCCATACCAGCTGAAATAGATCTTGTCGCCTTGCCATATCTTTCATTTGCAATGTGTTTTGGTAATGGCTGAACAATTGTGATTATGACATTTTTCAGTATTTGCCTTTTTGTAATCGATCAAACGGAGGAGACGATTTTTTATTACAGAGATAAAATGTTAGATAAAATTACAGAAACAGAATGTTACACTAAAACAATTTGTATAGGGTTGTTGCACACAAGAATTAAAAAAAATTGTCTCGATAAGACTACCAAATTGTACGAGAATATTGTGATTAAAAATGCTTTGCCTCGATATATGTATATAAATCTCGTGCAATACAGTATCATATATGTTAATACAATATTAAAACCATAATATGACTTTCTTCATTTCTTCCAAACTGTTTTTTTAACAACAACGACTGTAGCTCTATTTCTGCCATGTTTTTCTGTCTTTTTTTTTTTAGAAGTACAACATCGTTTTTAGTTAAAAAAAAAACAACTCTCTAGAGTCGACCAGACAATAAGGAAGAGTGCAAATTAGGGAAATAATTTTCCGGCATGCACTGTGTCTAACGATTCAGAATACTAGGTCTATAACGTTATCATCCAAGAATGACAAGTACAAGCAGCACTTCGTATTGTGTTTTGATTTTGCAAACAAAATCTATGGGAAATATTTTTGCAATAAACTATTGAAATATCAATCTATCTTATATGTACTCACGTCTTTATCTTTTAATGTTTTTACTTTAATTTTGAAAATAGTAAAAAAAAAACTTTACAAGAGAAACTTAACGTTTTGCAAAAGATTGTCGTATGTAGTGTGGATTTTTGGGATTCTATGAAGATCATAATCATAGAATTTTGTGATATGTGTAAGATTTATTTCATTCTTTTTTCTTTTTCATAAGTATCACATATTTTGAACTTATAATGTCGGAAATTTGAAGCCACTAATGAGTGGCCCGTAGATACATTTAACATGGAAGTATTGTATGTGTTTATTTAAATGCACATCAAAATATAATAAATAATTATGTAACAATGGTGTTGCGATTTCTTAAGCCGTTATATGCTGTGCACGTTTCTTTAAAATATTCCACTTATATTCATGAATTATATTTAGTACAGTTTTCGGATAATATGTATTTGATCTACTGTTTAGTATTTAAAGGATTATATTTATAATAACAGCTTTTCTTTTTTTTTAAATTAAGACTATTTTCTAAATGTTTAATTCGTCCACTCGACGTTAACAACTAAAAAGTCAATGTGAAATACCAATGTTCTAGAAGTTTTCTAAAAATGTTTGCTAAAGATATTAAATTTTCTGAATAAGGCACATTTAGTAGTTTTATATATATATATATATATATATATCATACTTGGTTTGAACGTTGTTTTCAATTTAAACTTGTTTATATTTTTTCGTTTGTGCTTGTATTATATTTGCTACGGGTTTATATGATCCGTTCATCCTATTTCGACTCTTTAAAATTCAAGAGTCTATCCTAAATTGAGGTAAATTATATGGCCTTCCAAATACCGTTTCGATCCCTAACATCACTGAAGAGACATTAATTGTCGAAATCCAGATATGGTGTACACATTTTTGCACCTCATGTTTGCGGTATACCATCTTCTTTGCAAGTTTATTGTTTTCTGTTTGGTATTAAATTAATAATTAAGATCCATGTTACATCTCGTGATAAATTTATTTGGCAATCGCCAATGGCAGTCAGCAGGGTTTAAGAACATCAGTTGTTCGACCTGTAAGTCAAATGCGATTTGTTAAAATATACTTTTCACTTTTTTGGTCTTTTGGAAAATGTTGTTTGTGCTGTATTTAGACCCCTCTACCAAGACATTTGTTTTACATGCACACGTATAAAAATTACTGTTTTTATCCAACGCAATCATAGGTTTGAACGTTGTTTTCAATTTAGACTTGTTTATACTTTTTCACATTTTTGGTCTTTTGAAAAATGTTGTTTGTGCTGTATTTAGACCCCTCTACCAAGAAATTTGTTTTGCATGCACACGTATAAAAATTGCGGTTTTTATCCAACGCAATCATAGGTTTGAACGTTGTTTTCAATTTAGACTATATATATAAATTAAAACGCTTCTACCGCTCTGATACACGTGGATAGCCCCAAATTCAAACGTACAATGCTCGTTTAATTAAAACAAACACTTATAAATCTGTAGAACATTGTTGCTTTTTTTCTCTCGAAATAACGTTACTTGAAAACTAAGAGTCTTTCTGTCTAACCCAAATATGTTTTTCAATATGTAGGAGAAATTGTGTTATAGCTACTAAAAAAAACAAAACAAAAAAAGTTAAGCAAAGTATGTGAGCCCTTCAGGATAAAAAATTTCCAAACGGTATATTTGTTTGATCTTAAATGATAACATCATTGGAAGAGAAACATATCTTAATTGATTCTATGGACCTGGCGTGGTGTTCTCGAAGCTATCTTAGGATTAGGTCGTGTCCTAAGACCATCTTATGACACGTCTTTGTCCTAAGTCGTGTTCTCGAAGCTCTCTTAACTTAGGATACATCGCATTTTTCGTCCTAACTTTAGGACACCTAATTAGGTGTCTTAAGATTATCCTATCTTCATCCTAACTTTTTGCATGCTTTTTGCTCAATTTTTTACGTGAAGATGAACATGAAATGAAACGCACCATCGGTAATTATTTAGTGTATAAAGCAATTGTGCATGATTTTAAACTTTGAACTTCGTGTTTCACAATACGATGACACTACGAATTCAATTCTCATTTCAAAACAAATTGTTTTCCAGTTTAAAATTTACACTCTTTTTTCATATTATTTTATTATAACATTTGAAACCATGCATTTAACTAAATACATGTAATTAGTAAATTTCGTAAACAATTTTATTAATTGGTTTCGTCTTTAATAAATGTTTTATCAAAAAAATACTTTAACTATTTAAAATTTCGCACTTTGGATATGTTAAGGACGTCCTAACATAAGATGCGTCTAAGATAGCTTCGAGACACAACTTAAGAGTGTCCTAAGATTATCCTAAGTCCATTCTAAAATTGGTCTTAGGACGAATCTTAGGATACTTTCGAGAACACCACCCCTGGTCTCAAAAGGAAAAACATATACAAATACAATACAACAACTAAACTTCTCTGTGTAAAAATAACAGTTCAGTTTGTTTGTATGCTAGGGAGACCACGAAATAACTATAATCTTTGTTTAATACCTATAAACAAGTAATAATATTTATTGTTAGCAAACCAAGTTATGCAGGGGACTGGTAAGAAAATGAAGACACAAGGACAAAAAATCTGTAAGATCATTTTGTTAGCTACCAAAATTTAAGTTTATCTAAGACTATGAAACAAGCAAACCTTACTTTTATACATTAGGTACACACTTGAAGAGATCAGCTGTAATAACCGTATCTGTTATCTTGTTTCTCAACTCAAGTAAGAATAAATGGGAAAGGGTTTGTTTGTTCGATACACATTCCTCACCAGGTCAAATCATAACTTGTTTGCTGTCTTCACGTGGCATAAAAAACTCGTAGGCTCGGGGTCAGAAAATGTGACTAGTTGGGTAATATATAAGCTTGTCAGTGACATACTATATGAGCTAGCAAATTAAATTATATTTTGGTAGTTTGGTCTATTGCAATGCGGGGCCAATACAAATAACACATGATTAAATGTTCTCCTTCTGAATATAGTAGGACTACCCACGGGATGTAAAACAAGATTTTACAGGCATCAATCCCAGTCATAAAGAAATAAGGAGTCTTAACCTTACTTATAACGTCTTTAGCCAGTTCTGAAACTTGAACAATAGCGAATTTATTCCATGTTAAATAACGACCAACCTTTCTGTGTCCACACTTATAATCATAAAGATACAATTGTAAGAGTAGCGTAAGTGAACTCTAGGGACCATCCTGGTCTGACTGTATAGGTTGAGTTTATATGTTCATCGTTGAAGATCATCCAGCAAGTATGAAGATGAAGGACAACAATAAAAGCGCTAATTTCTTTTTTATTAAGATTTTGGTTTTTACTAGTAATTCATGGACTTGCACGTCTCGTCTTATCCATTTCGCTTGCAATTGTGTTTCCATCTATCTATTAACAGCCTCTAGATGTATTTAGGGCACATTTTGTTGTCTTCATCTATTTATGGATATGCTATCTAGTTACATAGGAAAATCCTCTTGGATACCGAAAAATTGAAATTAACGCCCTTGTCTATGGTCTTAAACTGATCGTATGATATTGTGCATAAATAAGGTATGTAACAACACGTTGTCTTGCTTTCTATTTTGATTTAGAAATTATTTTTGTTTATGCACCGCTTTTTCATATTTAAGCGATTAAGGATTAGCCAGGATGGACACTCAATATAATAACTTTCATACATGTATTTGTAAACCAATTTAATTTCCTATCTACCTCAGAATGTGAAATTGATTTTTCTTTTTAATTTGATGAAATATAATTCTGATTTATCGCAGGTATAAACACGATTATCATTTATTACACTGTATTATTTATCCAACACTTGATATATTGAGGTAATAAAATAGTCATAATCCCCTATTTACCCTCTTTGTAAATCTGCAAACATAACAGAAAAGTAATTCAATTGAAAACTTATCTTTATTTGTTTGGAAAGCACATACAATGTACATGTAAATAGGTTGTCGCATTGCGGCAAATCACTAGGAACGGTACGATTTATTTAATCTTATAATATTTTAAGAGTCAATGTACCCCACATATTGGTATTTAACTAACGAGTGACAATGTGTTACATACATATATTTGTTACGTGAATTTTAGTGTAAAAAAGTATTTTTATTTAAAGTAACAATTTCATGTGATCTGAGACTACTATTAAACATGTTATAATAGTCTCCGATATTATGTAAGCTAAACCCGTTTAATCAAATAGCTTTTGTTCCCAAATTCCTATAATCAAAACTATTTTCATTTAGATAAAATGACATGTTTGTGATAGGTCAATGTGACAGCAACTTGGCAACACAAAACAAATGCAAACGCCATCTATTTCAAACCAAATCATATTGACAAAAATTTAACATATACAAGCGTTTTCATTTATTCAAATTGTACACGCCACACATGTTTCACAATGTCAAAGGTTACATGTAGCGGTGTTGAATATGAAGAGGAAATATAGTCATCCATTATCCTTTTGTGTAAAAACTAAATCTGAACATGCACTTGATTCACTAGGAGGATTAAGATTGGTCAAAATCAAAGCCAAAATCGACATACCTGGAAAAATATGTAAAATAAACAAACGGAACAAATGAAAACAACAGCTGTACCATATTCCCTATTGGGTTAAGGCAATTTCAAAGGAATTTATATTTCGACCAATTGTAATTCGTCAAGATGTAAGGGGTTTCATTCAAATAGAGCAACATTCAATTTTCATCATTTCAGGCTGCATACATTTTACAACTATATTAGCAGAGATTGCGAGTAACAATTAACGTTAACATATAACCAATCTCTTGATAAACATGGGAAACGTGGTGTTAAACTACCCAACAGTTCCAGCTCCGTTCCAAAGTTTTATCGTACTAATTGATTGGGTATGCAGGGAATGAATTGAGTGCAAGAACAATGGAGACGATCAATGTCCAAACTTTGACACGATGCTTAGTCTTAAGGATTGTTGTTCAATCTTTATTCTTTCCATCTTAGAGAACGTTTGTTCTCTTTGATTGGTTGTTTGGTACAACAAATGTGTATATCCATCGTAAACATTGTCATAAACTGAAATGAAAAGAAAGGGTTTGGTGTATCTATTTTAATTGTTAACGTATAAACCCTATTCGAACTTGACGAAAAAGAAACAGTGCTTTTATTGATGTTCTTCATCTAAAAATCATAGTGCTTCAAAACTCAGGCCGAAACAAAATATACCCCTCAGTGCTACTAGTATAGGACAGAGTATACTATAATTCTTTGTTAGATGTGGATCATGTAACATAAGAG